TGGATCACATGGGTGTTGGTCAATATTAGGGTCTCTTTTTGGGTCCGCTTTATAATACGGCGCCTAATATTTAGGGTACCCAAAAAGGGGACCCTAATTTTGACAACTACCCATATTGAGGCCCAGAAGACACGGACCCTGGAAATGATCTGGTGGGATCGAAACAAAGAAAGCTTGCAACTGATCTTGAAGAAGTCTCCTTCCCTGCGATTCGTATTGGCGTCACCCTGTGCCCCACTTGCAGCCTTCCTCGCCCCAGGGTTGACGGCTTAGCCCTAGGGTTCAGGGTTGTCCTTGGTTGCCCTTAACTCTAAGCCCTAAGCCCCAAACCCTAAATTGCAGGGTTTAGGAGTTTTGCTCAAGATCCTGGCTCCAGGATCTTTGACATCTTGGGAGAAGCTGTCCTGCGACGCGCAAGCAGGAACTCAGATGGTCGGGGATCCTAGTAAGTGGGTATTGCATGGGGGGGAGGGTTTAGGGCTTAGGATGGCGGGTTGAAGGAGAGATAAGAAGTAGAGTTCGGGTTAAGGGCTGATTTCGTCAGTAGTCATTTCATTGAGTTACAAGTATCATGATCCCAATCAGGATCCCTTGTAGGATACTTTTTACTCTGCTTTTTACCTGCTTACTACATCCCCCGTCCCTGCAAGTAGGCTTGTTAGTTCAAAGGGCCCCTTGCCGTGGGCTTCTACAATCAACAGATGATCCCCCTCAGCCACAAAAACCTGAAATCTAAACCCTGAAATCAAAAGGAAGTTTCCGAAAATAGGGGACCCTAATATAGTACCCCAAATAGTAGGATCCTTATTATAACGACCCCCAAAATACGGTACCCCTAATTTTCGGAAACTCCCAAAACTCCCCGGTTCTTAGTCATGGAATGCGGAACGGATCCCTATACCTTAAATAATATTTGGGATCCTACTATAATTTAAGGTATGTTCCTTAATTAAAGGGTACTGGGATCCCAAGGGGGATGCCACACAATATACTACTAAACCCTTATAGTACCCTTGTAGTATTCCTTAAAGGAGTCCTTTAAAGGAACCCTCCCTTTTAAGGTCCTTTCTCGAAGAGTGCCACCTTTTTTGTTTCTGGATCACATGGGTTTTTGTCAATATTAGGGTCCCTTGTTGGGTCCTTATTAATTGTAACACGGCACCTAATGTGTAATTTAGGGCACCCAATAAGGGACCAGCATTTTGACAACCACCCACATGGCCTTACGGCTGAATGATCGACTGGGGCTCAATGGAACTCAAGTGGCAATCGCGCCAGGTAGGAGCCAAAGATCACCAAGATCGGATTATGGCAGCAAGCCCAACCTCTCACACAAAACCAGCACGGAGCTCAGGGTCTGCGCAGATGCCAATGTTGCAGGCGTATATATAAACACTGACAACTCAAATCCAGAACTTTGAAGCGCACGCAAAACTCCTAGAATCGAGAAACTGCCTGCAAACCATACCAAAGCACTCTTCCCCGCGAGCCGGGCAGAAACATGGGATTTGTTAAGCTACTAAAACCCTTTGCTTCAAAACCAACACGAAGCACCGCGACGTGTCAGAAGAAGGTTACCAGTGATCAGCACACTGTAATTCCGTATCCGTGTGACTGCTTGCTGCCATGGTGATGATGTTGGCTTGGTTTTGTCCATGGCGATGCTGCTGCTGCTGCTGCTGCTGCTGCTGCTGCTGCTGCTGCTCTTCATGATGATGACGACCGGAGTTGCCATGCAAGACATCTGACCCGCATTGAAATGTCTACAAGCCCACTTGCTAGAAAGTCATCTTAGTTTTAGAAACCGACGGCCCCCGAACAAAAAGCATCAAACCCTCTAGAACCGTCTGTCTAAGCATGACAACCCCGAAAAGCTAAGAAACTTAAAATCACATCAAACACCCTCCCCAAAACCCTCCACCCCATTAAACCCTAAGTATGACTCCCAGCAACCCAATACCCCTTAATGAAGGAATATACCATAAATCAGTAGGGGCTCCAAATTATGATCTAAGCTATTTTCCTTAACTAAGGGATATTGGGCTCTCTGGGAGGGTCTTCAGGGTCGGGGTTTAGGGTTCCTTTAAAGGGATCCACGGGGATCTTGACAGTCACTCGCTCCCTCCTCCAGGATACGTCCGCCCGAGGTGGACCAAAAGCCAGAATTCCATCCGCCCTTGCCGAGGCAATATGGGGAGTTTCCGAAATTTCCGGGTACCTTATTTTGGGGTCCTTATACTAAGGATCCTACTATTTAGGCTACTGGGCCCCCTATTCTCGGAAACCCACATGTATTGGCCGTCATATTTGGGGTGGGGCTCCTTTAAAGGATCCTATGCAGGGTTCCTTAACAGAGGATAGTACGGCTAGGATCGCTCTATTACAATTTTGAGAAGATATATGATGCTCCACGGCTCCTATAGGCTTCACCTGGACCCTAAACAACCTACCTTTGGAGGGCTCCTTATGTTGATTTTCTTATCAGGGTCCTTCAATAGGCGGGCCGTATGTGCTTATCCAGGGTCCAGGCAAGGCTCATGGTTTCGTAGGGCTTCTCGGGTTTAGGCTTTATAAATGGGTGGTTGTCAAAATTAGAGTCCCTTTCGGGGTACCCTAAATACTTGGTGCCGTATTATAATACCCTGGGAATCTATTACGGCTTTTGGGCCCAAAGGCCATACTATATAAGGCTTTTGGGCTATTTTGATGCCCAGGGATAGGAACCTAAAAAGGACCATAATTTTGACAACCACCCAAAATGAGCTATTAAAAATGGGAGTTTCCGAAAATTAGGGGTGCCTTATTGGGGGGGGGACCTTATAATAGGGATCCTGCTATTTCGGGTACTATAGTAGGGGTCCCCTATTTTGGGAAACTCCCAAATGCTACACCTTCGGGCGGAGGGCTTCGATCTGCAGGTTCGGCGGCCTCATTTTTGGGTCCCTTCGGATGTTTTGCAACGGGATCTACGAAGGGGTTTAGGGCTTAGGGCTTAGGGGTCTCGGATTTAGGATTTAGGGTTTAGGGCTTAGGGGTCTAGGCGGTCTAGGATTTAGGATTTAGGGTTTAGGGTAAAGGTAAAGGGGTCTAGGATTTAGAATTTATCGGTTTGTATGATGCTCTAAAGGTCAAGGTTTTGCAAATTGTAGGGGTTGTCTGGCAAGAAAAGGCTTGTGTGGCTCTCTTTTGGAAATACTTCAAACGAAGGCCCACAAACTGTAGACAAGACCCCTATAAATGACTAGGGTTAGGGGCAGGGGGTCTCCTTCATGCAGGTTTCGAGTCGAAACCCAAAACCCTGAAAAAAGCCTTAACCCTAAACAAACATCTGTAAACCGCAATCCTTAAACCTCAGACCCAAAACCCTAAAAGCGTAAGCTTTAAACCTGAACCCTAAACCCTAAACCGTAATCCTTAATCCCCAAACCCTGAAAAAAAGCCCTAAACCCACAAATCTAAGCTTCCGGGGCATGACTAGCCAGTGGTTTTGGGGGTTCCCTGGGCTCCGTAGCTCCTTATTGGATAGGGATTATTGGGTTTAGGGTTTAGGGTTTAAGGTTTAGGGTTTTAGGGTTTAGGGTTTAGGGTTTTAGGGTTTAGGGTTTAGGGTTTAGGGGTTTAGGGTTTAGGGTTTAGGGGTTTAGGGTTTAGGGTTTATTATCATCATCCCTGGCTCCTTAGCTCCTCCAATATTAACTTTTAGATGACTTCTACATCGCGCCACTTGGGAGTTTCCGAAAATAGGGGACTCTAATGTAGTACCCTACATAGTAGGATCCTTATTATACGGACCCCAAAATACGGTACCCCTAATTTTCGGAAACTCCCACTTCTCATCCTGGCCTGTAGCTACAAGGCCTCGGGAAGATGATCCAGGAATTCCCAGGGTGCACTTGGAGGCTTATGGGGTCTTTAATTAAGGGTCCACTTAAAGGGTTCTATAGAGATTTAGGGTTTAGGGTTCTAGGGTTTAGGGTTCACGGGTAGTTATAAGTGGGGTCATAAGTCCCCCAATATAGGTTATAAGTATACTTACCATCCTCATACTTATAGCCTCACTTGTATCTACCCATGAACCTCCTAGCGGAACGAGCTTGGACTTTCCGTTCTGGGCATGCAAAGAGGCGTAATGAGGTGGGGGAGTCCCCCACCGAAGGTTTAAGGCCTTGGCACAGCTTTGGGAATAGTGTTACAATCCCTATTAAATAAGGAGCTAAAGAGACCCTAAACCCTAAATCTCTATAGAACCCTTTAAGTGGACCCTTGATTAAAGACCCCATGAGCCTCCGGTTTCAGGTTAGGGTGTAGGGTCAAGGCAAAGTTACACGCACCGTCGAGCCTTGGACAGCTTCTCAAATCTAAGGCTCGCGCAGGGCGCTGGGCGAACCACAAAAGGTTGAATTGCGGCTCACGGTCAAGGCCGGCTTCGTCTCTGCAACAATCCGAAATCTGAAACCGTAAACCCCCTAAACCTCTAACCCCTGTCCGCAACCTCAAAACTCGACAGCTGCAATACTAGTACCCTGAAATAGGGGTCTTAAGAAGTAGCGAATAGGGTTCTGGGGCAACTTAGACCATAGTTACGATACATGCAGAACCCCAGACTAGTGTTGGTAATGATTTAGGCCCCTATGTTACCCCACGCCAAGCACCGGGCCTTTCGGCAGTACAACACCTTGGCAGGCAGCTACGATGCAAACTGCGATCTGCAACAGCATTCAAATTTCGTGGTCTTACCTGTTCTTCACGAGGGTTCTATGAGGCTGTATGTGGGTTTGAGCAGCTTTGCTACAAGCTTAGAACTTAGTTTTATAAGGTATCTAGGCTTGAGAAATCCAGGTTAGGGGGGACCACACTTGCAAACGAGCGACAGACAGATTTTCTCTGTTCTCCCAGTCTTCGTGAGCAGCCTCTTTTAGAGGTGCTACGGATTGACAACCTACCCTACAGATAAAACGAAATCAATGCGGTTGATGCATACTCTGCGGTAGCTCTGCTGCTCACTCCAGACAGTCCGCCTGCCAATGGCCGGTCTGGCCGCATCTGAAGCACTTATCGCCGTATTGATGGACAGCCCAATCAGGGCGTAGGTCTGCATAATTGTAGCCAGGCCCTTCGACGAAGCCGGCATTATGCAAAGCTCTTTTCCACAAGCTATCATTCTCCAGCAGTTCCCGGAACTCTCTCCGTCCCTGCTGGATGCGGCGCTTCTCCTGCTCATCCAGCATGGCCAGGTGGAATGCCGAAGCCGTTGGGCAAGCTTGGCACAATTTCCGGCCGATCCAATTCCGCAACTGCATGGATTTCATGCTGTCCAATCGGTCAATCAACTTCAAGCCGTTGTGAGTCGAGACCCGGCTCAAAGCTACGTAGCCCATATTCTTTTGGAAAACTTTGCTCACATGCGCCGCCGCCTGCGCGAGCGTCATCCCTTGCGCTTTGTGTAGGGTGGTGGCCCACGCGAGGGCCAAAGGGACTTGCTTCCTCCTTGCAAGGCATGGTCCGCCGGCCTCTGATTGGATGTAAGCACCGATACATCGCGTTACCGTTAGTGTGCCACCGTCGCCGTCCAGCTGCACAACAGGCCCATCGTCATCGAAATCGATCACACGGCCCTGCATTCCTCGGTGAATTGCGTGGCTGTTCTGCACATGTGTGAGGCGCACTGGCGCCCCGACCTTGAGTACCAGCTGTCTGGGGCACTGCTCATCCAGGCCAACTTCCAACTCCTGCCTGCTCTGGACAGTCACGTCCGGATGGAAGAAATCCTCTGCATCAAATGAGACCGCCTCTCCTTCCAGGCTCCGCAACCTCGACGCATTCACGCTATCCACCTCTTTATTGTGGGCATACATTGATGGCCACTCAGATGTTCCTTCGCGGCGTGCTGCAGCAAGCAGGAGGCCTATGTCTGTTTCCTTCAGGTAGCCATACCGCAGTCTCTTGAGGAAATCGTGGAACTCGGGATCCTCACTTTGCCGATGTTGTTTGCGCAAAGTCTGCTGTTGCTGCGGCTCTGCAAACAAGGCCTTCCAGCATCGAGCCTCGAACGCCAGCATTTTGCTTTCAACTGGAGGGATTTGCATGAAGTCACCCGAGAAGATGCAGCGGATCCCCCCGAAAAGTGCCTCTGATTCGCGTACCATACGGCAGAGCTGCTCAAGATTATCAAGCACGCTAGGACAGAGCATCGAAACCTCATCAAGAATCAGAACCTTCGTCTCGCGAAGCCTATCAAGGACGGACTTTGAATCTTCTCGACTCTCGATGAACTTCCGAGCCTCTCCAGCTGATACCTCAAGCTTTCCAACATTCACCCCAGCGAACCAATGTACAGAAGTGCCGAAGATTCTGGATGCGGCTTTCCACGTTGGTGCGGCCAATGCGATGCGACCGTCCCGTAGATTCTCTTTCAGATGCTGCAGCAGGTACGACTTTCCAGATCCTGCTTCTCCAGTCAAGAACAAATGCTGCAACTTTGCGACTTCTTCGGCATTCTCCTGGTACCTCAGGGGTGCTCAACCCACACTCTGGCTTCTTGCTAAGGAACTCAATCAAGTTAGCATAATAGGGGCATGAACAACCCAGAGAGCCCCGTAGATTTGAACAAAGGAGCACGCTTACTCCGGAGACGGAGCCTCATCATCATGTATATATATATATATATGTAATATACACACATACATCATGTTTCACATGATTCGCGACATGTTGCCTAGTTGGAGGACACTGGCTCTCTGGATCGTTAACCTTCGGCTCCCTTCCCCAGCAAGCTTGCCACCTCTAAAGCCGAATATCCGGGCCCTAGACTTTTTGGGTGTAGGGTTTAGGGTACAGGACCCTCGAAGTTTAGGGTTTGGGCCCTTGGCCCTACAAAAAACATTAACAACACAAATTAGGGTTTGGGCTCTTGGCCCTACACCCAAAGCCCCAAATCCGCCTGTCCAACTTCTTTCGCACAGGAGGTGGCGTGGTAGGCTCCTCGGGATCTCGTCGTCGTCGAGGAGGCGTTCGGGAGCGGCTAAGGCATGCCATCGGAGACTCGTAAACCGCTTTACATTTAGGGCTGAAGATTATTTAACGCTAAAGTTTAGCCTCATGCATGCTCAGGCGATCAGCTGCAAGTCCTAAACCGTCAAGAAGGGGTTAGGGCGAGGGTGCAGGTTGTAGGATTTGGGCTCTAACCTAAGCCGTAAGCTCCAAGCCCTGAATCCTGCCGTCTCGGGTCGGCTGGAGTCCGGCTCGGCAGGCAGCTAAGCGTTGTCTGAATCATCTGCAAGGGGCTCTTTGTTGAGGGACTTTAATGGCTTTAATTACAGTATTGAAGCGCCCAGGACAGGACTCAGCACTTCAGCAACTCGGCACGTGACGAGATTCACGCCCCAGTGGGAATGAGCATCGGTCCTGCCAGCAGGAAGAAGCATCGTTTGGGTCAGGCGTTCGGAACTCAGAGCCTCCAAAACCCCTTAATTAAGGAATATACCTTAAATTATAATCGGATCCCTATTATAATTTAAGGTATATTCCTTAATTAAGGGGTTTTGGAGGCTCTGGGAACTCCGGCTTCAGTTATCTAGAGGCACCCTAAACCCTAAACCCCGACCCGAAGCCCCAAACACCTGAACCCTAAACCTAAAACCCGAAACCCTAAACCCCTAAATTCGGAAGAGCTTCGAAGCTTAGCTCTGATGAACTAAGGATTTAAAGAGTTCAGGGTTTAGACTTCGGCGTACCAGTTCGGGAGAGGCTGCTGCGGCTCAAGGGTTAGATTCTTTCGAGGTTTACTGTTTGGGGTTTAGCGGTTCAGGTCTAGGGTTTAGGTCCGAAGGAGTTCTTCAATTCAAGAAACCCCAAACCCTGAACCTTTCAACTCCAGACCGCTAAACCCCTTACCTAAACCACTAACCCCTAAACCAGAGACCCTTAACCCTAATCCGGGAGAAAGGCAGAAAGAGAGATGTGAAACCGTGGGGGTTTCTGCTCCAAACATTAGAGGCTTCCTTCGGCATCAAAACATCGGCACAGAAACATGTGAATAGGGCTTCTTGAAAGGGCTCCTTATGGGGGCTACTACACAGCTTTGTTCAGGGGTCTTCAGAATTGGAAAAGGTTTCGGGGGTACGTGTAGTCTTTCTAACAAGGACCTCCGGGAATGGTATCGGCAATTCTTCCGACCCCGACATCAGACGAGAAGGGTTTAGGGTTTCTGCCCTAAACCCGAAACCCCTAAGCTCCTTTTCTTTAAACTATAAATGCCGTCAAGTCCTACACTATTGTAGGGCTCAGGCTTCGCGGTTTGCTTTTTCTGCTTAGTGCTTAGGGTTTCATATGAGAGCCTGAATAGTTAATTGCCAATACCATTTTGGGTGGTCCTCATGTTACCTTACAGTACAATATACCCCAAGCCCCTATTGTAGTCAGTCAGGCCCCTATGCTAAGGCTTTTCTGAATAGCATCTCTCACCGATCTTGCGCGCTACCGGAAACCACACCGAACCCATGCGGCATGTGGGGGAGTCGTCGGGTTAGCAATGGTTTTGTAATCTGGAGATAGGCTGTGTAACCGTGAGGGTTTGGAATATTGAGAGTTCATTTAATTGGCATTCTCAGTTCCCGTAACGTCTAAAACATGAGGGTACCATTCTTCCCAGATTACTGCAATAGTTTGAATAGTTATTCGCCTCCTTAATTGGAGCAGGGTTCGGAGGTTACCAAAATCGAATGGGACATTGCTCTCTCTTTTTTTTGGAGATTCTTCGTGGTAGCCGCTCGCCCGCCTCTTCGCACAAATTTGCCCACTGGAGTGGTAGACCCGGAACCTGAGCCAAAAAGACTGGATCCAAACGTTCAGGGAGTTACCTTCAGGGGTTTAGGAGTTTAGGGTTTAGGGGTTTAGGGGTTTAGGAGTTTAGGGTTTAGGGGTTTAGGGTAGAAGCCCAAAAGTTGGAACCCCAATAGCCTTAATCCTTAAGAGCAATGTATAGGTAATCCCAGCACTATCTGGCCTTAAACATGTTTCCAACTTTATGGGGTTTACTATAGGGTAACACCTGATTGATAGAAAGAGCCAGAATGTTCGGATCCCCATGATCGCCCTTATTGAAGGATGGTCGTGTGTTTAAGCCCCATCCACATAACCACCCACATACCCCCCTCACTCACCTATCCTACTATTTGCTTAAGAACCACCCAAAAAATAAAAATAAGAATCCCTATATTACCCCCATAAGGAATATTGTTTTTCATTTTTTGGGGGTTCTTAAGCAAATAGTAGTATCCCAAGCACATGCGACAAGGCCCCTCCGTCCAAAATGTCAACTCTATCACTCCCAGAGCCTCCAAAACCCCTTAATTAAGCAATATACCTTAAAATCATATTAGGGGTCCTATTATAACTTAAGGTATATTCCTTGATTAAGGGGTTTTGGAGGCTCTGGGCTTGCCTCCGAATGGTACATCCTAAAGCAGAAAAACCTCAAACCAAGCTTAAGCATCAGGTCCAGAAGACAACCCTGTAAAACCTGTATAGAACCCTTACAAGGACCCACATAAGCCCCTGTAAGGAAACTACCCCCGAATACCTGCAAATTCCCGAACCCACATAGAACCACAGACAACACTGAAACCCCTGACAAGACCCGTGGTCCATATCCCTAAGCCAAACATCCCCATAAACAAGTCGCAGAACCCTCTACACCCAACATCGAATCAAATATGCCCTGCTCGAAATCGAGATTCCCAATAAACTATCACAAGCCCTTTAACATTCAAACTTTAGAACTCTTTTGAACTAACGAAAACCTTAACCCATAAAGCCCTCAACCTCCAAACCCTAACACCCCCAAACGCCGCTCCCTCAACTCTTTACCCTGAACTCTGACCGCAAAACCCTTAAACCCCTAACCCGCCTAAACCCTAAGCCCTAAACCCCTAGGTTCCGCCCCCTCAACTCTCAATCCTAAGCCCTAAACCCCTCCAACGTCCCCTCCCTCAACTCTCCGCGGGCGGCGTGTCGGGATGAGGATCGGTCCTTCCCGCCTCAACTGTTCTGCTTCGGGCTTTAGGGATTTTAAGGATTTTAGGGTCGAGGGGCTCCAGGGGTTCCTTAAAGAGTTCCAAAAAGGGGTTCCTGGAAGGTTCTGCTTCGGGTTTAGGGTTTAGGGTTTAGGGTTTAGGGTTTAGGGTTTAGGGTTTAGGGGTTTTGGGGTCGAAGGGCTTAATGGGAAGGGTTCCTTCAAGGAGTCCCTACCGCATCTACCCGAAGGGTTCTGCAGGGTTTAGGGCCTCCCAGGTCTAAGTAGGGTTGGAGGTTTAGCGTTTTACTCTCTTCTCCAATAACCAGGCCCAAACAAAGTTCAAACTGTATAAGCTAGGCCAAATATATGAAGCCAAAAAGTTTAAAGTTCTCCAATAGGCTAAGTAAGTTTAGATCTTTGTAGGGTCGCATATCTGCTGGAATTCCCACTTTGGAGTTCCGGGTCTCGAGACAAGGTGTATGGCTAGAGGTTTACGGCTTGGGCTTAAGAAGAAAGAAAGCCCTTAAACCGCAAAGCCCCAGGACCTGTAATTCTGCCTGAAGCCTTTAGCTCTACCCAGGGGCCCCAAAGTAGTTCCTTTTTGGAGTTACCCTATAGGATTCTATATATGAATCCCAAAAAGGAACTACTTTGGGGCCTTTGGGTAAACCACAAAGCTCTAAACTTAGTAAATGCCCATGCACCGAGCCCTGCAACGAAGCTGGGGCTCTTCTCGGTGCTGGTTGGGAGCTTACTGTAAGACACTACGGCGAGGAAGGTCTGTCGGATAAACCAGACTTTCTGAACAGATAGCTTGACCCGACACCCTACCCTAAACTCTGTACAAGATATTAAGCTCCCGCACAAGAGCCCAGCATGGCCGCATCTTCGGTTGTCCACTTCTCTTCGTGCTGCCACGAAGTGAAACAATGACTCTTTAAGATCCGGCGCGGGATTCGATAATACATTATTTACTTGTAATGTTGTGGTATATTCTATCAATAACTCGTATAAAATGTTACGAGCTGTACGCATGTAGAGCTGTCGTTGCTCTTCTCAGAGACTTGGGTCTCGGATTTGGAGAACGGTGGTGTATTCTGCAGTAAAGGTCTTCTGGGGGTGGTCGATGAGGCACGACGCCCTGTGGGCCTAGTTTATTCCACGCGTATGCAAGTAGTACAGGAGGGCAATGCAGGCACAGAGAGCAGCCGAAAATCTTCCAAGAGTTTCTAGAACCGATTTTTAAAATCCGGAAAACCTAAACCCTAGACCCTAATCCTGAACCCTAAACCCTCATCCCTAAACTCAAATTGACACGAGCTCGGAGTGAGATTTAGTACCTTTTTTGAATCAGCTGGCCTGCGCTGCGTCATCTTCGCACGTGACAGGAGAGGTCTGTGGGACCTTCGTCTGCACCGTAAGGGTTTAGGGTTTAGGGTTTAGGTTTAGGGCCAGTCCGAAGGATCAACGCTTTTCCAGGACTATGGAGATAGCATTTTCACCAGCCAGTATTCTCGTGTTGCTCCTCTTGTGACCCATAGCATGGCTTTCTGGATGGGTTAAGGGTTTGCTTAGGGCTTAGGGCGCTTTAGCGTTTAGGAACTCGCTCTTCGCTGTAGGGTTCAGTACCCTAAGGGTTCATACATAGAATCCTATTAGGCATTCTGAAAAAGGAACTACTCTGGGGCCTATGGGTAGTTACAAAAAGGAAGAAAGGCTTCTCGGATGATCGCGTGGCTGGCTGTTCTGGATCCTGCGCTTTAGGGTTTAGGTTTTAGGGTTCCTTTAAAGGGCACTATAAGGGTACTGTAAGTGTGCTTTCAGGGTGGGTCTAGGGTTTAGGTTTTTTGGGGTTTGGGGGTTTAGGGTTTTGGGGTCTAGGGGTTTGGGGGGTTTAAGGGTTTGGGGTTTAGGATGTTTTTTTACAAGACCTACGCTGCATGCTTGTCCAGTATCTTCCTTTTCAGTTACGCAGGGATCTTGCTTCCCCGTCTCTTTGTCGATTTCTTCTAGAATCCTTATAGGGTTTTTGTAAAATTGGGGTCGCGGATGTTCTGCAACTCCGATTTTGAGAGTACCCAGCGAGCTCAATACCCCTTACTTAAGGAATGTACCTTACATCATTAGGGGCTTCATATGATTTTAGCTATTATTGGAGCCCCTAAACCCTAAACCCTATAGATCCCTTAAAGGAGCCCTATAGGCCTAGGTAACCCTTAACTAAGGGGTATTGGGCTCTCTGGGTACGGGACTGGCAATCTGAATCTTGACCCAAGAGTAAGCTAGGAATGAAAAGGGCGCCCTTTCTGGTTTTAGGGGGCTTATAGGGGAACCTGAACCCTAAACCCTAAACCCCCAAAAAAGGGAATAAGGGCCTACTCTACGTCCTAGGAATAACTTGCTCGGTCCCGCACGCACTTCCTCGAGGTAGGGCTGCTGCCGATGTACACCTGCTGGCGGTTTAGGGTTTAGGGTTTAGGGGTTTAAGGTTTAGGGATTTAGGGTCTAGGGGTTTAGGGTTTAAAATTTAGGGTTTAGGGTTCTGGGACTTGATGTGACTTGATGTGATGTTGAGGAATACACTTAGTCCTAAACCCTGTAGACCCAAACGCTGAAAACAGTTGTCCGTTTGATAAAGGATTCACAGCAAGCTCTAGCAGCTTGGAACGTGGATTAGAGGTGACGAGTGCAGGATATACCTTAATTTAAGCGCACATGCAGAGTAAGTACTATGTGGTATTCAACTGTCTGGCCTCGGCGCATAAGCCGACAGACCTACATTCCAGGCTACTAGTAAGTTGATTACTAGCACACATCATGCTGATATATGGGAGTTTCCGAAAATAGAGGACCCTGATATAGTACCCTGAATAGTAGGATCCTTATTATAAGGACCCCCCCAAATAAGGTACCCCCCAAGTTTCGGAAACTCCCATATTTAGCGGCTACTACAGGCAACCCCCTAAACCCTAAAGCCCTCAACACTGCAGCGACATACAGCACTCATGAACCTCCAAGACCGCATAAGTAGGGTAACTATACTTATAACCCATATTCGGGGATGTATAACCCTACTTATAACTACCCCAGCCGAACCTCAACATCCTCAGTTCTTGACAGTTCCTACGTTCCTCAGTAGCCCCTGAATGATAAGCGAACCCTTTTTCCTACATTTGGCTTTAACATGCGAATCCAGAATGAAAAATGGCAAACGGGTACTACTGGGTCCTGTACTTGGAGGTTCATGGGTAGATATGAGTCGGGGTATACGTCGCCCAACACGGGTTGGAAGTATAGCTACCCTCTTGTGACCCTAGAGAGAACTACCCAGAAAGCCCAATACCCCTTAATTCAGGAATATACCTTAATTGTTGGAGTATTAGGGGCTTCATATTATGATTTAACCCATATTCTTTAGTTAAGGGGTATTGGGTTCTCTGGGTACCGCCCAACATGAATAGTGTGACGGCACCATGTTCGGCTTGACGCATTAGGTGTTCTTGGAGGTTCATGGGTAGTTATAAGTAGGGCTATAAAAACCCCTCATATGAATTAGAAGTATAGTTACCCTACTCATAACCCTACTTCTAACTACCCATGAACCTCCAAGTTTAGGGTTTAGGGTACTGACATGAAATAGTGTAAGGGGCCCAGCGAGCTCAATACGTCTTAATTAAGGAATAAACGTCAACTGATAATCCTTCAGCCCCTTATAGCTTAAGGTGTATTCCTTAATTGAGGGGTGTTGGGCTACTGGCTGACCTAGGGTAGATATCCGCATTAATGGCAGTAGGACCGGAGTTTTGTCCTTCAGGGTCGCAGTACGGTGGTCAAAGTTAGGGTCCCTTTCTGGGGCCTTAATATAATACGGCACCTAATATTTAGGGTAGCCCAAAAGGGACCATAATTTTGACAACCACCCAAATGGACTGCATAAGGATTTTATTACTCGGACCTCTTGACACTTACTAGCTATTTCTGAGTTCCGATGATTCCCTTCATTCTACCATACTTGAACATGGCAAGCTTTTCTGGGCTCCTGCTAAGGAATTCATCTAAGTTGCCATCATCAGGAAACCGTTCTTTTATTGTAGATCCCTATTCTGGTAACTGACATAAAATGCCTCAACAAGAAGTAAACGCTCGCGGTCGGCCTGCTGAAAGCGCTGGGAATCGGCCTGGCGTGTGCAGATTCATAACCAGTATCGAAGAATTGGAAGAGGGCTTGGGGGGTCTCTACACTCCAAGGGTAAAAGGAGGGACCCTTAATAAGGACCCCTAGGTATATATACCCTGAATATAGCTATTATGTACCCATTATATAGCCCATTATAGGGTAGGGGTCCCCATTAAGGGTCCCTCCTTTTCCGCTTTGATACACCGTAAACATATTGGGCAACCCACCGGCTGGAGATGGCACTGCTCCAGGACGCGGACACCCTCAACCCCAACATTCAAACTCTAGACCCCCAAAAAACCCTATATCAACCCTTAAGACCCCGTACCCCTCATGCCCAAACCCGGAACCCCAAAACCCTGAACCCTGAGTACTGCCTTATGCGTTTGGCTTCCTTGTTCCTATTGCCCAGTACTAACAAAAGCACTGTCGGACCTGTAATATAGGGGCCTGAATGATGACCACTACTATTCCTTAGCGTTGTCGGTTAATAAGTATACTACCAAAGCCCTACTCTAATTATTGAGGCCTCTCCACTAGCCCTAGTACTTTAAAGGAGCCCTTAAAAAAGTACAAGCCTCTAAACGAACCGTACTCTAAAAATCAAGGCCTCTTTGTTTCGCCCCAGCGCCGCACCTGTGTTATCAGATCCCTTGCCGAAGAGCATCCGACAAACCGGGATGAAGGCCTTCATAATCAGAGTAGGGCTCCCTTAAAGGGTTCCCACATGGGTTTCTATAAGGGGGTAGTCGGGGCTTATACAATAATAAAAGTTAGGCTTGGGCCACATTATTATAGTATAGGTATGACAAGGAGCCATAAGACAAGTATTGGCAGTTTTCTAGGCTTCTTTATAGGTGGTTATCAAAATTATGGTCCCTTTTTGTGTCCTTCTTGTTCTACGGCACCTAATAAATATTTAGGGTACCCAACAGGGACCATAATTTTGACAACCGCCCATCATATATTGAACAGACAACCTCCAAATCTCGAGCTGCCGGACCCTAAACTGGAACTCCAAACAGATCCCAACCCAGGGAGCCCAATACCCCTAAATCAAGGAATATACCTTAAATCATTAGGGGCTGCATATTATGATTTAAGCTATATTCGTTAATGAAAGGGTACTGGGCTGTCTGGGAACAGGTCTAATCATCTAGTTGTCATACACGATACATAGAGCTACGGCCATCCGAAATCCAAGTACCTAAAACCTACAGAGCCGGGTGCTGCAGCGCACTATAGTGATACACAGACTATAAAGGATTAGTATGACTAATCTACAGACACTGGTCACTGCTTTATTCATCGACTCAACCGCAAAATCATCCGTGCAGCCGACGGATGCCTTGATGCACTTCAGCACCTCAGGGGCTTTTGAGTTTGGGGCTTTGTGGGTGCTTGGGTCGTGGTGTTGTGGGTTGAGATTTTCAGGGTTTAGGGCCTTAAGTTTGCAGTGGCCGAATAACACAAGCCCAAAAAAGGTTAACTTTTGAATTGTGGCAGGGTTACATAAAGCCGAAAAAGCTAAAGCGCGACGCGAGGCAAGCTTTGTCCCCAGCATCCTTTAAAAGAGCTGAGACCAAAACCCTTATAGAACCCATACCCTACCGCTCTCAAGGAGCAGAACTGGGGAAACCGCAAAACACAAGGCTGACCCATGAAACATATTCGTACATAAGATCCTCTTGCGCCCAGTATAAGGGGAAACAGAAGATGTCCTAAAGGTCTACCTAGAACCTAAAAAGCTTAAAAACCCCAACCCTAAACATAAACTGCTAAACACTAAACCCTTAGCTCCTAAACTCCTCACAACTGAGCCCAGAACCCTACATCCCAAACCCTACGCCTTTAACCCTTTCTACAGTAATCCCTTTAATAAAAAGGAACCCTTATTTTGGGGGTTCCTTACCACAAACTGAGCCCAGGACCAGGTCCAGCCCCCAGAGGTGCTTGTAGTCCAGGCGTTCCACGCAGAGTTGGCCTCCCTTGCGGTAGACCTTGAACCTGCTCAGGGCTTCTTGGGGTTTACTGTTTGGGGCGTAAGGTTTGGGGTTTGGGGGTTTTGGAATGTAGGGTTTTGGGTTCAGGGCTGTGGGGCTTAGGTTTTGCGAAACGCACCGGCTGCATTGGAGAATTTCGTATCCCAAAGCCTAGGACGTTCCAGGGTTTTCATATGGGAGTTTCCGAAACTAGGGGACCCAGTATCCTAGATAGTAAGTAGGATGCTTATTACAAGAACCCAAATAAGGTACCCCTAATTTTCGAAATTTTTCATGTGGTTTTAGAAGCTTTTATAGCTGCCAGTCTCGGCTTCACAAAGCCCAAGGCGCTGGTAAGAATAATCGTGCGGCGTGACACGGGGTTCAGGGTTCAACATGCGCTTTATGTGGATTCTGTGAGGTTCATACTGTGCCGCCCTTCAAAACCTTTGTCTGTATCGAATGGCTTTGTTTAATTACTCTTATTGGAATTGGAATTTCCACAAGGATTTTATGCTTGAAGTGCGTAACACAGGATTGGGTTGGGATCAAAGCTTTGGGATTGGATCAGGAGGGCTGCATGCTGGAGGATGCATTCCAGAAGTGGCTCAGGGAAAGCAAGCACGTCTATAACAACCCTATTATTACCCAAATTAAACAGCCGCTGAGGTCGTGGCGATGAGCCGAAAGCTACAGCCCGGAAGCAGAGGTCCGCTCGCAAACGCATTACTGCCACCCAGAAACACCCCAACCGCTCAAGGCAACCCCAGAGCCATCTCTCACGGTGCAGAGTGAAGCATACCTTCGCAGTGGCGAACCATCTGCGTCATCCACATGGCTGTCGTTGCCCAACTAGCTGGCAAACCCGCTCCTTTTGCCCGGAAAATTGGCAGCCGCTTGCTGCCATGCTCCCGGTGGCAGGTTGAAGCGTAAGCAGTAGGACCGTGCCAATCGGCCATTTTGCTGACTAACTCTATCGAGATTACGTGTAATTAGAACAGCCCGTCGCTTGTGCACGTGATAGAAGCCCAACCGGACGACGTGCTCCGGAAAGCAAAGGCATACATTTTGCGGTCCCGGCACCCACAGGGCACATACCTCGCGCAGGCCAAAGCTGCCTGCAACTGTGCGATTCAGCTCCTCCTAAGGTGCTGGCTGGATCCCTGCGGACTGCAGTTGCGGTTGCGCTTGAGGCGAGACGTCCAGACTGGCTGCGGAGTTCGAAACCGGTCTCGATAGGTCGCAGCATGAACAGCTCCGGTGTGAGGTCAGGGTGGTGCAAGGCCCACCACTCCCGTGTCGGCCAAGTCCTCCGATTTCAGAAACATTGGAGGTTCGGGGCAGTGACTCGGTCAAAGATCCTTCGGAGGCCCGCATCCGCGAGCGACATGCACAAAGTCGTTGGCAAAAGTAGTCGGAGTGTGTTTTGGGAGCACCAGAGGCGGCACATGGACCTGCACTTTGCAGAGCAGGTCGAGAAATCTCGAGATGCTTCTGCTCCGTTGCAGAGTGCCATTGACATGACAGCCACCGCGGTGCCACCAGCAGCTGCCCACACATTGGCCTCACATCGTCATTTGGGAGTTTCCGAAAATAGGGGAGCCTAATATAGTATCCTAAACAGACCCCAAAATAAGGTACCCCTAGTTTTCGGAAACTCTCATTTCCATTGGACACCGACGACAAGGGATTCTCCTCATGCCTGCCCCCTTTTGGGGGCCAGTCCATGGAGGCTTCCCTACAGGGTTTTTCACCAAAGGTGGTCTATGCTTGGCAATGGGTGGCCTTTCCTTGGTCTTGGGAGCACCACGCATTGGCACACCGGGGACCCATGCCTCTTACTGCTCTAGCCAAAGGCTCCATGTACCTTTATAGTAGGTACTTTAAGGCCTAAGAATATACTATATGGGTACATGGAGCCTTAGGGCTAATGAACCGTGGTCTTGGAGGTTCATGGGCCCGGCAACACCCGAAAGTCTTGGTATGTCGACTTTCCCAATACAGTACCCCCTGAGGGTCCCAGAGAGCCCAATACCCCTTAATTAAGGGATATATGCCTTACTTAAATCATTAAATTAAGGGCTTCATATTATGACTCAAGCTATATTCCTTAATTCAGGGTATTGGGCTCTCTTGGGGTCGTCTTTCTGGAGCTGACGCCCTGATGGGCCCAACACCATGGCAGAAACGTGCGCTTTGGCCTTCTCCGGCAGCCATGCATGGCTCAGGGTTTGGGTTTCGTGGGTTTAGGCTTAAGAGTCTTAGAGGTCTCGGGTTTAAGGGTTTGGGTGGTTTTGTGGCTTTGGTTTAGGGTTCAGGGTCTAAGCCAGAACCTACATGCTTCATGCTTCACAAGCGCCTTTTGGCTTCAACGCCGACACAGAAGAAGGCTAGACAAGTTACCAGTGGACTACTTACAGCTTCGGTCCCGATTCTTGGGCCCCTAACTTTAACCCCTGCCCGTAACTCAAACCCCGCTCAAGCACTTTAAACCCTACTAAACCCTACCTGTATCCCCAAACCCTACAAAATAGTAGGTTATGACCCCTTAATTAGAGGGTAGAACCCTTAAAACGGTAGGTTTTCGGATTCCAAGGTAAACCTACTAAAGCGCCATCAACTCCCAACGTTTCCCTTCCCCCCCTGCGCCCTGCGGCGGCCTGTCTGGAAAATTATCCTCCCGGCGATTTCCTGCACATGGCACACATTACGAATTGCTGTGGGGGTTTAGGGTGATGGTTCTGAGGGCTCTGTGGGGGTTGCTTGGCGCTTTTTGAAGCTTCTGGTTTCCGATGCATGGAAGAACTATGTAAGGTAGCGGCTGAAAATGTATCAACGATCCCTTGATATCTCAATGAGCGTCCTAAACTTAGGGTGACGAATTTAATTCTCTGGGGCTGGCTCACTTGTATGTTACAGGGTTTAGGTTTTATGTAGGGTCTAGAGTCCACAGTTTGGGGTTTAGAGAACCACTAATTTCCAGAAAGCTTACACGCCTTGTTTTGCGGAATATCAAACAGGCAAGTTTGCGCGGATGCTCAGCCCCATACCCTCCACAAACAATGAACAACGTAGCATACTACGGTTCATGATGTAAGTGATGCATTATCCATAATAATGAATATACCATAATTCCCATAGTTTAGGGTCATTAAGGTAATGCAGGGCTTCTATCATCAACCGTATTTGGATGATGGCGGTGCTTTTTGGGACACCACTCACCTAGGATACCCAGTAAGAAGAAAAAGGCCTCTCTTTTTGGTATTGGGTAACTTTATAAGGAACCTAGGACTACAAAAAGGGAATAGGGGTACTACTGGGCATCCTAGTCACCCTTGGCCGGATCGGTGTGGGTTCAACATATCACTGGGCACCAGAGTTCTTGAAGGGCTTAGGAAAGAGAAGTTTAGTGTAGAAGGCCCTGCACCCGAACCCCTAGACCTATCTATATATTGTATATAGATATAACTATATATACTTATGTAAATATGTATAAAAAAAATATACGTATATATATATATATACACATAAGATTAGAGCTTAGGGTAGTGTAGGCTTCGCGGCTTAGGAAGTTGGGATTGGAGCTTAGGAACCATAGGTGTGACTTGAGCTTAGGGTGGTTTCGTGTCTGGTGTATAGCACTTTAGGGGTTCAAGGCTTAGGTGGGTTTAGGGTTTAGGGTAGGGGTTTAGTGCCTTTAGGCTTAGGGTTTAGGGTAGGGGTTTAGTGGTTTTGGGTTTAGGGTTTAGCGTTTAGGGGTTCAAGGCTTAGAGCAAGTTCAGATTTCAAGGGCAGCTTGTTGTCCAATGGTTTGCTGGGAGGTGCCTTTAAAGCCTTTGAAAGATACTAGTGGGTAAGATCCTCTTAAGCCCAATAAGAGCTAATATAAAATATCTCAACGCCCTACCTAGTTTGGTGTAGATGAGAGACTTGGGTGCTAGGATCTCCACTAGCATAGGAGTACAATGGGCGCTGGATAGTCATAGAAGGAACCAAAGACCAAACGAAGATAAAAGGCCGACCTAGGAAACCCTGAACCGTACATCTGGACCCCCGAACCCTGAACCTGGCTCTCTGGGAGACCTGGGTTACAAGTTCAGTTCTGTGAAACCTCAACCGGGTCCTGCATCGATGGGACAGCTGACCGGCTTGGATGGAGTAACCTCGGCAACAGCCCCAAAAACCCTAAAGGGTTAATGGTTTAGGAACCAGAAAATAGAACCTTGCCCTCAAAAAGCACCCTAGAAAGCTATCTAAGTAGGGTATGATTGAGAACAGATCCTATGGTGTTGGGATCTAAGGAGTCATATATTAAAGCTTTCGGGCCCAAAGACCATACACCATAAGGCTTTTGCGCTGTTTTGATCTCTAGGGTTAAGGTCCACAGCTTTTGGATCCCTGAAAAGATCTGGGAGGGCTTTGCAAGGAAGCGACGTTGGAGAGGAGACCCTTGAAACAATCTGCGACGACTCTGCTTTAGCTTCTAGATCTGTTCGACCTTACCTTTAAACCCTAAACCCTAAAGCCTAAACCCTAAACCCTCCCCTAAACTCTGAACCTTAAATGACAGGATGAGGTCACAAGGGCCCTGAAGCAGGCACACCCCCTCCCAGAGAGCCCAATACCCCTTAATTAAGGAATATATAGGACCGAGGGCTCCTTTAAGGGATCTATATAGGGTTTAGGGTTAAGGAATATACTTTCTATCATTAGGGGGTTTCATATTATGATTTAAGCTATATTCCTTAATTAAGAGGTATTGGGCTGTCTGGGCTTGACTTCATAAACCACTTGGGCCCACAACGAAACTATACTGTAACCCCTACTTACAAAGACATAATTCATCATGATCCCTAAAACCTCATAAGCCCCTTGGACCCACAAAAACAGACTTGCTTTAACAACTAGAAAGGGAACATAATTACATAACTTATCATAACTCCTAAAATTTCAGAAGCCCCCTGGACGCGCAACGTAACGACTAGAAAGACAAAATAACTCCTAAAGAGAGCCCAGAACCTTCAGAAAATCTCTACTCAGAGACTCCAATACCCCTTAACCAAGGAATATTCCGTAAATCATGTTAGGGATCCTACTACAATTTTCAAGGTATATTCATGATTAAGGAATATTGGAGTCTCTGGGTACACACCCTACAGTAGAAGCCAGAAAGTTGGAACATCATTAGCCTCATGCCCTTAAAGCAAAGTATAGGGAATCCTAGCACTGATCCTCCTAAATCCATGTTCCAACTTTCTGGGGTTCACTATACATCCCTAGATCCTAAACCCCTGAACTCAGAGATTCCAAAACACCTTAATTAATTCAGGAATATCTCTTAAATTGTGGTCGGAACCTTAATAATCACGATTTAAGGTGTAATCCTTCATGAAAGGGCGTTGGCGTCTCTGGAACTAGGTTCCTGAGTAGGTCCTGTATACCCTAAGGCCGCAAAGTAGTTCCTTTTTGGGGTTCATATATAGAATCCTATTAGGTATTCTGAAGAAAAAGGAACTACTTTGGGGCCTATGGGTAATAAGAGTGCCCTTTTTCCTACTACTGGCATGCGGCTTTAATGAGGGGAGGCCAAAACAAAAAGAGCAAAAGGGTACTACTCAGGACTAGCTCATGGTTGGGGTAGGATGAAAAATATACGTTTTTATTCCTTGTTAGGTTTAAGACCCATAAACATGTAAAATGTTACCCAACTATGACAAAGGCGGTAGATCTATAAGGACCCTGAGACCAGAACAAAAGGTTAAACAGCCCCAGTAAGAGACCTAAGGAACCCGAAACCCTGAACCCTAAAACACTACTCAGTACCCCTTAATTAAGGAATATACCTCAAATCATTAGGGGCCTCATATTATGATTTAAGCTATATTCCTTAATTAACGGGTATTGGGCTCTCTGGTAACCTAGGGAAACCCTACAGGACCAACCCTAAACCCTAAACCCTAAACTGAGACCTCCACACACTTCGTGCCGGAGTCCGGGCTGGCGCCAATGTGCACGTTCTCCACGTCGCGGTCGTGGAACCAAACTGCATGGGAGCCCTGGGCTGATAAGCTAGGCTCCTTAAAGGGATCTATAGGGGTTCCTTAAAGGGATCTATATGGGGTTTAGGGTTTAGGGTCTACTTAGAGGATCATGGGACTTAGTAGGGGTTCTTGAAGGGCTCCTTAAAGGGATCTATAGGGGTTCCTTAAAGGGATCTATATGGGGTTTAGGGTTTAGGGTCTACTTAGAGGATCATGGGACTTAGTAGGGGTTCTTGAAGGGCTCCTTAAAGGGATCTATAGGGGTTCCTTAAAGGGATCTATATGGGGTTTAGGGTTTAGGGTCTACTTAGAGGATCATGGGACTTAGTAGGGGTTCTTGAAGGGCTCCTTAAAGGGATCTATAGGGGTTCCTTAAAGGGATCTATATGGGGTTTAGGGTTTAGGGTCTACTTAGAGGATCATGGGACTTAGTAGGGGTTCTTGAAGGGCTCCTTAAAGGGATCTATAGGGGTTCCTTAAAGGGATCTATATGGGGTTTAGGGTTTAGGGTCTACTTAGAGGATCATGGGACTTAGTAGGGGTTCTTGAAGGGCTCCTTAAAGGGATCTATAGGGGTTCCTTAAAGGGATCTATATGGGGTTTAGGGTTTAGGGTCTACTTAGAGGATCATGGGACTTAGTAGGGGTTCTTGAAGGGCTCCTTAAAGGGATCTATAGGGGTTCCTTAAAGGGATCTATATGGGGTTTAGGGTTTAGGGAGGATCATGGGACTGAGTAAGTAGGTTATAATTGGGGTTATAAGTCCCCTAAGTGGGGTTATCCTAATTATAACCTACTTATAACCTTACTTACTAAGTCCCTTGAGCCTTCAAGTAGGCCCTAAAGTAGTTCCTTTTGGGTGTTCATATATAGAAGCCTATAAGGTAGTCCCAACAAGGAACTACTTTGGGGCCTATGTAGTAGTTTTTTTGTGGGGTCTTAATCAAAACCCTTCTGATCCCTGGGCTCAATTTTAGGGTTTCGGGTTTGGGGGCTCAAGGTTTAGGGGATTTCGTGCTTGGGGGCTCAGGATCTAAGGATTAGGGTTTATCTTCTGACGGCTTGAGAGAGTATTCGGGTTAAGGGTTGGGAGTCAGCGTAGCCATCGTAAGAAGTGCAAGACTTTTACAGAATAGCCTAGCAACAAGTCACGGTGGCTAACGTTAGTGGCGTCTCGTTTCAAGCCAACGATTCCTCAATCAAGGAGGATTCCTTCGATTAATCTGAGTGACCGGGTATAGACTCAAATAGGGTTGGCTATTATTGGAATCTCGGGGCCTCACCCACGCCTAACCCCTAATCCCACAAGTAGGACCCTAGAGGAACCTACGTTTTGAAGGACTTAGGAAGGTTATTTTGGCTCTCGGTAATTCCTAACCCTAAACCCCGAAACTCTGAATCCCCTACACCCCAAACCCTTGAACCCATCAGAGGCTGTGGCGGATTGTTCTCTGAAGTGCTCCATGTGGCCATGCATGCCGCTGGCCTTAGGACGCTTCGGCGCTGAGGGGCCTTCGGGCTGAGGGCGTAGGGCTTAGGCCTTAGGGTTTAGGGCTTAGACACGCAGGTGGTCATTGCCGCACATTGTTTTGTATGTCATGCAAAATCACATCAAGGGCACGTACACTAAAACTTGTGTGTACGATGTGCTGTTCATGGTGTCATTGCTTGCGGGGCATGTTTGCTTAATCAGAGCAAAGGGGGTTTAGCAACCATGGGTCGCCCCTTATGAAGCAGCTTATGGTCCGGGTTTAGGGGTTAGGGTCAAGAGTTTAGGGGGTCCCTTCATTTTTGGCGAACACCTGTTCGGGCTTCCTTCTGAAGATACAGGCAGTACACAGCATGATACGACGGCAGAAATACTTGGAGCATAGTTCTGGATAGATGACGCTACAGCTCCATGTTGATTCTGGAATAGGGTCGTAAGTAGGTGATAGGACCCTTAGTATAACGACCCTAAACACCGAACCACCCTCCACCCCCCTCTCGACACAACAGGGTAGTTGTCAAAATTATGGTCCCTATTTGGGTACCCTAAATATTAGGTGCCGCCAAAAGGGACCCTAATTTTGACAACCACCCATATAGAAGGATCGCAAAGGACCAGCGATGCTCGGTGTTCGGCCTCCTAGCCTAAAGTTTGTACCAGTAGGACTTAACTACGTCCTAAAAGGCCTTCTACATCCGCCAAAAAGTTGCCTCACTTACACCCCGCGTCCCGTTAAAAGACTCTTACTCTTGAAGAACTCTGAGGAGTTCCTCCAGGGAATCCTTCATACCGCTTGAAGGCCTGAAAGCAACCCTGAATACCGCTTAAAACCCTCAAGGCAACCCTTAAAGCCTCAAAGGCTTTATTAACACCCCAATCCCCGTACACTCGGAGCGAGCTGGGAACAGCTGAACGCCTACTCTGAAGCAGAAATCCAAGCCTTAGGATCTTAGTTGCTGAATTCAGAAGCCCCCAAAAGTGCACACTTTCAGTTTTATAGTGGGTATTCAGGGTTTAAGGCTAAGGCGTTTACGGCTTTAGGGTTAAGGGTTTAGAGGTGTAGGGTTGCGTGGACCCTGAATATCCTACCTTTTCAGGGTCCCTTATTATAGGTTCCTTGTATAAGTCCAAAAAGGTATGTTGTTTGGGTTTAAGGCAAGGCTTATGGCTTAGGGTCTGGGGGTTCATGGGTTTACCATTTAAGAAGTTTACCGACTCACAGGGGAAGCTGAGCACGGTGCCCCAAATCGGCCTGCGCCTCAAGGCATGGAGGCTTCGAGTGTTATAATAATAACAATACGAATAATCGTATTCATAATAACAGTAATAACCATCATATCAACAATATTAACAACAGTAATAATGAGTAATGGGAACAATATTAAACTAGAACATACGAAACATATCAACAATAACAACAACAGTACCAGTAACGGCAGCAGTCACAATAACAGTGACAGTAACAGTAGCAGCAGCAACAACGAACACATAAGTAATAGTTCCAGCAGGAATACCCCTAACGGCAATAACAATACTAAGAATAAGAATACTGAGGAATATACAAAACAATACCATTATTACCATTATTGTTAGTATAACAGTAATGATAGTGGCAAAACTGCAAGTAATAGTAATCTCAACAATACTGGTGATAGAATAGCAATAGTAATAGCACTAAAATGTTTAACATTAGTATTCGCCATCTTCAGATTAGCAAATAATGACACAATAAAGATTTGGTTTAGGGTTTCGGACCCCTGCGGGGAGTTTGCAGCTTAGGCTCGAGGACTTGGTTAGCCGCTTTGTGGCTTCCTTTGGTGTCTGGTTCTTAGTAGGGGAATGGGGGAATGGGTAATTGGGACTACTAGTGGGGATTATGAAGGGGCTACTACTATAAGGATCCATTCCCCCATCCCCCCAAGAACCAGACAGCTTGGTGTTGGCAAGTCTCGGCCGTGAATTCTGAATACAGAACGGTAGAAAAGACATCTCAATTTCCCCAGCCCAAACTAACCAATGGTTTTGGGGTTCCCTTGGCTCTTTAGCTCCTTATTAAGTACGGATTATCATCACCCCTGGCTCCTTAGCTCCTCCAATATCAATGGTTAGCAAACCATCCGACCCCAACCACGAAACGCTTATCATCCTGAACCCCCAACTTTCCGAAGCGCTAGAACCCTAAGTCCAAAAATCGCTGCACCCCTAAACCCTGAACACCACGCCCCCTTCACTCCTGATACATTTGGAGCCCTCAAAACCACTCTATACCACCCTTAGAACCACAATAAGAGTAACACTTTGAAAATTCTCTTGGGTTTTATATGAACAAAAATAAAAAAATAATTCCTAAGGAGACTATATATAGTACTTCTGAGACAGTCCTCACAAGATTTCGGACCTGGGCCCCGAGGTTTTCATGAGTCCTCAACGGGGGGGGGGTTCCGAAAATTGGGGGTACCTTAGTTGGGGGTTTAGGGTTTCGGGGTTTAGGGGTTTAGGGTTTAGGGGTTTAGGGTTTAGGGGTTTAGGGGTTTAGGGTTTAGGGGTTAGGGTTTAGGGTCAAGGGGTTTAGGGTTTAGGGGTTTAGGGTTTAGGGGTTTAGGGTTTAGGGTTTAGGGTTTGGGGATCCTTTGAGGGTTCCTTAAAGGGATCCATAAGGCTTCTATAAAGGGTTTAGGGTGGAGGAGCTTCCGAAAATTAGGGCTCAACACTAGGTGCCGTATTAGAATAGGGACCCAAAAAGGGACCCTAATTTCGACAACCGCCCATTTAGGGTACCATATTAGGGTCCCCTATTTTCGGAAACTCCCAAACCTCACATCATCTGCTTCTTGAAGGGCTGAGCCCAGAACTGTGGTGTCCGTAGCCATAGGCGGGACAGGTGACCTGCAGCGGCTTGTGGAAGCCTTTCAAAAGAGTCCGCTATGTTGTGGTCCTTGTTTCGAACTCCCCAATATGATGTTTTTGTACTTGAGCTGGGGCTCAATCGTCGAAAGCTGTGTAAAAAAGCCGTATGGCTTCCTTTCAAGCCCACACATTGCCTTAACCCTTCACATAAGCCATAAGCCCTCAATCCCCAAAACCCAATTTCCAACACCTCCTGGCCCAAAATCCGCAGGCCCTCAAACCCTGAACCCCTAACCCCCATCCTTAAACCCTACACCCCAAACCCCTGAACCGTAGGCCCTAAACCCCCAAAACCCTACAGCCTAAACCCCTAACCCCTAAACGCTAAACCCAAAACGCGAACTCCACCTCCATCCCACCCGCCGCTTGCAGTCTCAGCCCGAAATCATCCCGGGGGTCTGAACACCGAGAGTAAGGTTTTGGGGGCAGTAGATGAATAGGGCTTAGGGTTTAGAGCTTTCGATTAATTGGGGCCTTAGTGATTAGAGTAGAGTTGTGGCGTATACTATACTCGAGTTATACTAAGGTATCCTCAAACAGTATTGGTAATAAGTTACGCCCTTGCAATCATTTGGGGGCCTTAAATGATTAGACAAGGGTTCGGGGTCTACTAGACTACACTACTAGACTACAAGTATAGTACGGAACCACAAAACAGTATTGGCAATCTTCTGGGCTCCTTTTTTCTTCAGGAGCTTTCAGCAACAGTGTCACTAGCCCTTCAGCTTCTATATTCGGAGCCTCAAGACTGACGAATAGTACTCCTCTTCTTTAAAAGGCCCCTGCAAAGTGTTGGTTACTGAGCCGGAAAGAGCCCATGAGTCCATGTCTTGCGCTTTAACAATTAGAGTTGGGTGTTGGGGTACACCATACTGCAACTTTATTGGCAACCCTATGGATAGCATCCGTTGTTCAAACCTCCACCGGTCCCATGCACATCGCACCAACAGCTCTTGGGGTTAAGGTTCACGGACGAGGTTTGGGACGAGGATAATTAAAGCTTCTTGGGGCCTAGAGTTTAGGGTTTAGGTTTTCTGTTCGATCGGATTACGGTCGAGGTTGTTGCACAAGCTGAACCCGGCCTTCTTGCCACAACACATCGCCTGCTTCTGATCGGACCAGGTGTGCCAGGAATGCACTCCCACCTGTGCTTGGGCATAGGGGCCTTGATAGTCCGCAGTTAGTTTCGGGGTATATCAGCCCACAGCCTTGTAAAATCTATACGCGGATGTTGCTCGTGATTTTCGACGACCCTAAACCCTAACCCCTGAACCCTAAACCCTGAAGCCCTAAAACCCTGAACCCTGAGCCCTGAACCCTAGAACCGAGTTTTGTGCTTGGGCTTCAGACTCGGAGATCATGGGAGGCCGCGGCATAGCGGCTGAAGACCGCTTAAGGGTGAGGGTCTAGACATTATGCATGCCAGCTCAACCCCAAAACAGCAAGAATGCTTATGAGAAGGACCTAAAACCTGAACCCCCGAACCCCAATTACATCCTAAGCCCTACACCCTGAATCGTCCAGAAACGGAATGCCTTCCCAGATTTCGTGAAACTTCTCAACCCCCTCGCTGCTGTAGCTCGTCTAACAACAAGCTGCAACCAAGATCTGGATCCAAAGCCGAAGACAAAGCTTAGGGCTAGGGTTCAAGGTTTAAAGGTGGCGGTTAAGGGATTTAGGCTTCAAATTCTTTCAAGAAGACTGAACACGCAAAGCTCTCGGACAAGACTACCCGGCAAAACACTTGCAGAACCCTATACAACCTTTCATAAGATTGTTTCAGCCCGGTTATATAACCCTGAATGGAGAACCTCACATCCAGGCCCTAGCAGCTGAAGACGGTTCAGGTTTAGGGCTTCGGGGGTTTAGGGGATTGAGGGCTTAGGGTTTGGGGTTGTTGAGGCAACCTCAACCGAAGCCCTGTGAAGCTCAATGAAGCGACCACGCGGCCGTGAAGTTCAGAAGGTCCAAATCATGAATAAGAGCTCTACAGGTAGAAACACGGTTCATGACATAAATCCTGCATTACCTTACTCACCCTCAACTATGGGAATCATTGTATAGTCTTTATTATAAGTAGTGCAGGATTTAAATCATCAGCCGCAGTAACAACTCTCAATAATCATGATAAACATCATGAAATGATGATGATGATGACGATGATGATGGAAAGTCTTGTGAACGGTACTACTATCAATGCCGGTATTAGGAATAGAAGGTATAGTAATAGTAACAGGAATGTCTATGATAACTATAATACCAACACAATAAATTGAGGCGCTGAGCCCTAAACCTTAAACCTTCAGGTTTCTCAGCAGCTCCTTAACAAGAAGAGTACCTTTTTCTTGGTGCCTAGCTGGCTAATTGAAGTATACTCTAGCTTCTTATAGTACATTATACTTTGATAGACTATAGATATCATAGTCAGAGTATATATTCAGCGCCTTTTCTTGGAATTCCCTCTCCATCATCCCAAAACTCCTACCCTAGAGCCCTTGAAGCAAACGCTTGTAAAAGCCTGTACTTGGAGGTTCATGGGTAGTTATGAGTAGGGTTATAAGTATAGTTACCCTAATTATAACCCCACTTACAACTACCCGTGAACCTCCAAGTAAGGCTGTAAGGAGAATCTTAAGGAACCCTGTGAGGGTGCTGGGATCTAACCCAACACCACATACTGTTGATGATGTATATCCTGCATTACCCATAATGAGGCATATACCGTAGTTCCCATAGGTTGGGGTCCCTAAGGTGATGCAGAATTTATATCATCAACCGTATCTCCCAGGCCTTGCAGTTGAAGGAAATCTTCAAGTAGCACAGGCCCAGATTGCCTCAGCTCGCACAGGGTCCCCTTTTAGGAACCCCAAATGGGAGTTTCCGAAAATTAGGGGTACCTTAGTTTGGGGTCCTTATAAGGAGGATCCTACTATTTAGGGTGCTAAATTATGGTCCCCTATTTTCCGAAAGTCCGAAATAAGGCGGCACCCTTATAAACAGGAACCAAAAAGTTAGAACACTCCACATGCGGATTTGCTGTATCTGGTTGTAAAAATGGGAGCTCAAAGGGGAAAAGAGCAAAAGGGCACGACTGAGGAACCCTTATCGTACCGTTCTAGCATCCTTATAGAAGCCTTAAAGAACCCTAAATCCTAAACCCTAAACCTCTAGATCATACTTGAAGGCTCATGGGACTTAGTACGTAAGGTTTTAAGTAGGTTATAATTAGGATAACCCCACTTAGGGGACTTATAACCCCCATTATAACCTACTTACTAAGTCCTATGATCCTCTAAGTAAACCCCTGATCTCCTAAAAGACACCCCAAAATTCCTGACACCCCAAAATCAAAGGGTAAAAAGAGGGACCCTTAATGGGGACCCCTACCCTATACTGGGCTATATAATGGGTATATAATAGCTATGTTAATGGTATATACCTGGGGGTCCTTATTAAGGGTCCCTCCTTTTCCTCTTGGACAAAACCATCCCAAACCCAGCTCCTATGAAGCTGTTGCCAGGCTGGGGCAGGCGCTGCAGCACCAGGAAACCACATCTGATAAGGGCTTTCTGGGGTTACTTTACAGTAGAAGCCAGAAAGTTGGAACATCATTATCCTCATGCCCTTAAGGTGAAGTATAAGGGATCCTAGCACTAATCCTCCTAAAGCCATGTTCAAACTTTCTGGCTTCTACTACTACTACTACTACTACTACTACTACTACTACTACTACTACTACTACTACTACTACTACTACTACTACGGTTGATGATCCTACCATTAATCCATATTCCAACTTTCTGGAGTTCCCTTTATGGGGTTCCGAGTTTTGTCTTTTAGGGGTTTCGGCTTGGGGAGTTTAGGGGTTTAGAGCTTAGGGGTTGCTCCAAGAAAGGGAGATCTTAATGGGTTGTATATAGGCTTTCCAGGATATATCTACACATATCTATATAATATATATATATATATATATATATCTATATATAAGGCTTTCTGGAGTTTCAGAAGGGTTACTACTTGTACAAGGTCTGCTCTTGGAAGGTTGCGATCGTGCTCCAGGCTCTTCCTGATCTTTTGCGCCCCTACTCAGTCACAAAGTACCTGGAGACTCCAACAGAAACGCCTTCTTTACAGAGAACACCGAAATCTGAAAAGGCTGTCCTTGTAACAGAGGTGCGTCTTCGGGAGAATAGTGTTCCCTAGGTCATTATAACTGAAGTATATACCCCGAAACCCTAAACCCTAAACTACCCCGAAACCCTATTCTATTTTTCCAGGCCCCCATATTGAAGCTGCGAAACTCTAGAGCTTCAGAATGCAAGAACTCCAAAAAGGGGGCTAAGCCGAGTAGACTTAGTTGCTGAGTTCATAAGCCCCCGAAAGTGTACACTTTTTGTTTTATAGTGGGTGAGATTATCCCCAAAGGTGTAAAATGTATCCACGCAGCTACTAAGTACAAGATTAATAAGCCTCTCAGAGTACCCTAAACCTTGCAGCTATCTACCCTCAGAGAACCTGCATAAAACCCTGACGGAACCCTCTATAACAACTTGTAAGAGACGCTTTTAAATGCGTGTACATCGCACATGCACTCTCTCTCTCTCTCTCTCTCTCTCTCTCTCTGTCTGTATCTTCGAGTTATACGGTTGTATCAGGGGTTGCTGTAACCATAAATAATAGAGAGGTCGGCGGCTCGAGTTTCGCGTTTGGCTGTAGGTGCTTAGGATTGAGGGTTTAAGCTTTGGGTTTCGGATCCAGAATACCCAGCACTAGTAGATTAGCGTTTGGCAGAGCTTGCGAATCTTGCGCAGATGGACCCTTAGGGCAAACGGTCCAACCCTTGCCCTAAAACCCGAAAATCGGAATCCCAGCCAGCCTCAACCCTCCCCCAAATCCTAAATTTTACAAGCCGCCAGAACTCCTGTTTGGGGATGACGAACTCGAAAAATCTTCATCAGAGTTCATAAATCGCTGATCTCTTCTATTATTGCAATGTTGTTACACTATAATTTGTTAAACTCTGTCATGCTATACTCTATTCTGCTCTGTTCTTTTCTATTCTATTGTATTCTATTCTACTCTCCTCTATTGTGCTCTGCTCCGTTCAATTCTATGCTATCCTACTTGTCGGGTATCATGGGGAACTAAAGGTTAACCTTCTTGGCTATATAGGGATTATTTAGGGACTATACTACTAAAAAAAGGTTAAGGGTTACCTACTCTACTTACTACTAGGTACTGCAACACTGTGAATCCCAAAACCACACATTCTAAAAATCTTTGAGGCTCGATAATAAAAGCCTATATAGGATTGTAATATTCGCGGAATGCCTCTGGGCCGGTCGTTCTTGTTCTGGCAGTCAGCAAAGGTGTACGTCTTCTCGCTGGAGTGACCTCGAGTCCAGGGTTGTGGGGGTCTAGGGTTTAGGGGGTTTAGGGGTTCGGGGGTTAGGGTTTGGGCGTTTACTCTAAACTTCCTAAACCCTAAAACCTAGGTTTGGTAGGGGTTTAGGGGTCTGATACAAAGGCCGTAACAACGTGACCATGGTGCTAGGGTCCATAGTTCCTAAGACTATGGGGCTATAGGGTCCATTGTTCTACTCCAACTATATCATGGAATAGTGCTGCCAAGTAATCCGACAAAGCCCTAAACCCTGCGTTCTGAAGGGCTTGGAGTAGAGTTGCAGGGTCTCCACAACGAGGGTCGAGGCATCTTGGTCTGGAGTTCGGGAGTCTGGAGAAAAGTTCGCGGATTTAAAGGCTAGGTAGGGTTTGAGGGATTTGAGTTTGGAGTCAAAGGCTTTGAGGTCTGCTCCGAGGTTCATGGGTACCTCTAAGTAGGGATATAAGTAGACTGAGTGTTAGGTGACTTATACTTACAAACCCCACATATACTATGGGCAGTTATAAGTAGGGTTATAAGTAGGGTCGTAAGGGGACTTATGCCTCCACTTATGACTACCCGTGAACCTCCAAGTAGGGGGAAAACCGAAACTCGTGTCCGACAGCTGAGGACCGGGCCGATCTTGGCGTGCATCAGCTCGTCGGAATGGAAGTGCGGCTTCTTGAGAGGCCGTGCGAGGCTGCTGTGCCTCACCCTGTGGTGGGACAGAGGCCCGCCAGCAAGGTGCCCGGTGTGATGATGCGTGGCCACGCACGCCAACCTGGCAGCGGCCGAAAACTAAAGGCTAGGCTGGACTCGTTCGTCTGTACTGTAATGAGCACACAAGGAAACCCTGTTGAACAATTTTCTGGCTTCTAAATCCCAAGCCCTACCTACATCCGATAAACTCTAGACCCTACAAGCTCCAAGCTCTAGACCCTCCAAACTCCAAGCTCCAGACCCTCCAAACTCCAAGCTCCAAACCCTCCAAACTCCAAGCTCTAGACCCTATACAGCATAAACCTAGGCCTTCAAGTGCCTATATAGGCACCCCTTCAAGGCTAAAAACGTAGTAATGCGGTACATGGAGCCTTAGGGAGGGGGCTTGCTGCTTCAGCGAGTCGCGCAAAGGACTATGGGCTGCAGGCTGCTCCATTAAGGGCCTTTTCTTGGGCTCTGATCATTTAAATACGTCTTTGGGGCACAGTATAGTATAGTGATAATGAGGAAGCCTCGGAATAATGTTTCAAATAATTCCGGCCTCTAGAGTACACGAGTAGACTTGGCTTTAGGAGATGCTTTGCTCTGCCCGGTTTATATAAGTAGATTTGGGAACCTGTGGACATACCAAGAATTGTCAACTATTCCGACCTCGATGCTATTGCAGAAAAGCTTGTTGGGAAGTGTGCTCGGAAAACCACCTCCCAGTCTAAAACTTATCAATCTTGACAACACATCAGCAGCTTCTGGTGGTAGACATGCCATGCTCGTGCTGAAACAATTACCGAGACCTGAACATGAAACTGCCCGCCCATGTGCTCCCTACCCGAACAAAACCCCTGTAAACCGGAGAAAGGTCCTGTAAGAACATCTCGAGTTCTACAAGCACTTTATCAAGCCCCCTAAAGCTCTCCAACAGCCTGACAAAACCCCAAACCCCTAAATCCTAAACCCCAAAAGAAGGGCCGCAAACTGATGTCCATGAAAGCACTGAGAGCTCTGGCTTCTCGTATGTGCAGCACCATGTTTTCTTTGCCTCAGCTTTCCTAAACATTTCGACGCTCCCCACTTCGGGGACCCTTATTTCAGGAGGTTTATACTATACTGAACTTAGAACCCTAGCAAAAATTATAATTGTAGCTGTTTCTTAGGGATTATAACAACCAAAAATTCAAATTTTATTTCCAAGTATCCCTTAGAGGTGAGGGTCCTTTGTAGGATTAGGAGGGAGGGTGTCATAAGGGATAGAGGATTAGGAAAATGGGTGCAAAATGGCTGTGCTGAGGTTCCCCGGTTGCCTACTTAGAGGATCATGGGGCTACCCTAAACTTCTATAAGGGTTTAGGGTGTAGGGCTTTGGGTTTAGGGGTTTAGGGTTTAGGGTTTATAAACACTAAAATAAAAACACCCTGAACTTCTACACCCTAAATTCTGAAATCTAAGCCCCCGATTTTAAAACCTCAGGCAGAAGCCGTTCAGGCCTTCTTCAAGGGTTCAACAAGGGTCCTAGCTTGGCCCTTTAAAGCTTTTGATCCTCTTAAACCAAATGCGGGAAACATTACATGTCCTGAAGGCTTTTACCTGATCCCAAACACCCTAAACCCTAAACCCTAAACCCTAAACCCTAAACCCTAACCCCTAAACCCTAAACCCTAAACCCCAAACCCTAAAGCCTCAGTTCTTTGCACTTAGAACAGGCTTTTGGAAACAGGGAATGCCATTCATGATGATTTTAGGGTTTAGGGGTTTAGGGGTTTAGGGGTTTAGGGTTTAGGGTTTAGGGTTTAGGGTTTAGGGTTGCGCATAGAACTCGAAACAACTCGGATCGCAACCCCAGTCTGGAAAGTAAAATCCCATAAGCACTCCCTTATAATGAATCCAAATGAGGTCATGCTTAATCACCTTTGTTGGGGCTCACGTTAAGGGGTTGAATTATGCTTCCACGCTTAGGTAATAAACAGGGAATGTGGGGTTTAGAGTTCGGTAACTTTGGGCATCAGGGTTCTACGATTGACGCGCTAGGGTTTAGGGTTTTAGGGTTTCGGGTAATTGAGTGCGATTTTTTTTCATCAACTTGAGGCTTACTCGCTCCGTCCTTGCTGGGCTCCAGGCGGGTGCGAAGCCAACAACCCATTTGTCCAGCCCTGCGTGGCAGTCGAAAGGACAGGCTTTCGAGTACCTGGCATGTCATGGTGTGGTTTTGTCAGGTTCGGGGTCTGCGTGACATCAGGGCCATAGTGCTACACTGTGGACTTGTCATGAACTTAATGTTCCGGCCTTTACATTAAGCCCTAAACCCTAAGTTGGTTCAGGAGGGGCTGGAGATTGCTATCCCAAGCACACTCCCGCGGGCTTCGGGACCACGCGCCAGCGGCCCTGGCCCCGAAGATATGAAACCTATAGTGGACAAGGGTTTTGGGATTTCTTGGTTTGGCATCAAAAGGAATGTCCAAAGCTTTGCTGGGGCCTTTTTGGAAGTTGGAGGGGTTTAACTTTGGTTCTAAAGGGTTCTATGAGCGCTCGTGGTATGGGGTTCAGGCCTTGACCTGAAACGAGGTTATCTTGTTCTAACCTCGATATCTTTTTGTAAACCTCAGGTCACGCCGGATTTGCGGCCATGCCTTTCTTCTAGCCTGGTCTATCTCACCTTTACCCGTGTACATCTCATTTTGAAGCGTCGTCCACCTGCTTAACAAGAAAGGTAAAATGGCTAGGTTAAAATTCTGATATTCAGAAAAAGACAGGAGGTTAACCAACAAACTGCGAAGTCAAACAAAACAAAAAGACATGCCCACTTGAAACCCTAAACGCTCTAGACCCCGAAGCACGCACTTACGCCAACGCCCCAAACCCTTACACCAAAAGCATGCCGGCATTTCAGGTGATTTTCGCAGCACCATTCTCGTGACTCCTTGTTGGTCGCCGTGCTCTCCTGCAACGCTGCGCAGTGCATAGCCGTGGTTCGAGGGTTCACAGCAGAGCCAAGGGAACCTGTGCAGGGTCTGTCCAAGGGTAAAAAGAGGGACCCTCAAGAAAGGATCCCGAGGTATATACCCCCCTTAATATAGCTCTTATATAGCCCACTCTAGGGTAGCGGTCCCCATGAAGGGTTCCTCCTTTTCCCCTTTGATTCTGGGGCCCATGGAGCCTTGGCTGTCAGTTGGGGCCGTTCAAGCCTTGGCATACCGGTATTCACGAATGAAACGACTGCTACTCGCACGACCCTCCACGTCGACACACTTCCCCATGCACGTACCCTGAAATAACTGCAGCCTCTTACCTGCACAAGCATATGTGCATGCATGCATGCAAACGCACCCACCCGTACAAGCAGTTCCCATGCAAGAATCAAAGCCTACTTTAATCCAGGCCTCGACCAAAACCCCAACTTCCCGATTGCACCTGCGTCGCAAAACTTGAAACCCAATACCCATAAGCCCTAACAACCCTACAGATCTTTACAATACTCATATCAAACCCTAGAAATCAGAAACTTAAACCCTAAACCCTGCTCGGCGCCCAGAATCACTGCTCAAATTCGCTTTTGCCCGCCTGGGTGCAGTCGTACGTCCTCGGTAAACATGTCAGGTGGTCATTACCCTAAGGGTCCAACGCTTGATGATATACATCCTGCATGACCTTAAGGACCCTAGACTATGGGAATTATGGTATATTCCTTATTGTGGGTCATGCAGGATTTATATCATCAACCGAAGTACACCTTATTATCGGACTCGCGAGCCTTTTGTGTACGAAAAACCATAAACAAGGACTAATTGCAAGAACAGTCTTGACGACGGCCTTAGAACATGAGCTTTCTATCTCTCTGTTTTTTATTGTCTTACATTGATATACCAATTAACAAGTTATGTTCAGGGGTCGAGGGGTTCAGGGCTAATCGTGAAGGCTAAACATTTCTAGGCTTGATCTTCGGGCTGTATTATACGCGTGGGCTTCGAAGTAACCCGAGAGGAAAGCAGTAAACACCTTTACTTTACACAAGCAAAAAACGGTAATAGGGTATAGTACACAGTATAGTAGTGTGTTATGAAATGGTCAAACCCGACAAGGTTGAAGGCTACCCACCAGAAACCCAAGCATCCGTATGGAGATGTCTTGCGGAGTACTTGGGGCAACTTGCACCGAAGACGTCGTAAACTCCTATACCTCAAATCAGAGTTCTCCCTGAACCGCCAGCCCACCAAAACAGCAATACTCAAAACTGCGGGGGAGGCTGGCCGCTCTAAGAAGATACATCCGTCCCCGGGCCCTAACGGAAGAAAACGAAGTCCAGGCATGAGCGAAGTCGCCAAGCCCTACGCTCATCACCAAAAACAAACCACGGCAAATCGCAACTCCTGAGTACCCTACGGGTTTCCTTTAGTGTCTAGGGTTTAGGGTTTCCTTAAGGGAAAGCCGGGGGATTGAGGCCCTTTAGCACAGATCCCAAAGCCTTTCAAGCCTGCACGTGGTGAAAACGACCACACATACATGCTGTGAAGATCTTACAACGAGGTCTCTGCTGAGCGCGCGCTGAAGAACGCTACCCGTAGGCAAGTCAGTGCACTGAATTAGGCCCGGGCCTGCCATGTGTTCGCATGGTTGCGGCCTTCGGGCAGTGGCTACTCTCACCCCAGTGAGGCCCCGTCAACTGGTCTACCACCGTGTGGAGGCTGTCGACTGTGGGCCATAACCAAAAGTAGAAGGCTGGCCCATATGTCAGCTCAAGTCGGCCCGGCCACACTCACGGCTGTATGGCATCCTGCACGTCTGAGTTGACAGCATGGACTGCTGCCTGTGGTGGAGAGGCATCCTCGTCCGTTTAGCCATTTGTGTTAAAGGTGGTGGCAAGGGCTCCACTGTGGGTCATGCACCCTTGGTTCTTGAGCAGCCCATGGTACGTGGGTGCTTTTTCAGAAAGCACTTGGAACTGGCGAGGAAAATTGGTGCGAACAAGGTCTCTGCACTCCCCCTCGTGGTCTGTTGAATTGGGAGCCCACTTCTGAAGGCAAAGGGCCAGGGTTCGTGGCTGACAGTTTCGGTTTCCCAAAAGGCCGCATCCCTTCACAAAGGAAATGAACATTTCAAGTCCTACTTGTCCTTCAGAACCCATACAATGCCAAATATATCCCAACTAGGACAAAGGAATGACAAAGGCAGGAGTGCAAAATTGGGCCTCAAAGTTCCCCTTCAGAAAGCCTTGGCACAATGGAGCCTCAGGGTACTTGGAGGTTCATGGGCAGTGATAAGCTGGGTACTATGCTTTGTAACCCATATCATTGTATTGAAGGGTTTCTATAACCCTGAACCCTAAACCCCGCCAAAAACTACCCATAAACCTTCAAGTAAGGTGAATTAAGCTGGCTGCGTGGCTTAAAACGAAGACCAGCCTAGTTGCTGAGTTCATAAGCCCCCAAAAAGTGTACACTTTTCGTTCTATAGTGGGTGGTACTACCCCCCAAAAAAGTGTAAAGTGTATCCACTCAGCTACCAAGTACCCTAAACCCTACACCCTGAACAACCCTAAACAACCCTAAATCCGAACTCCTAAACCCTAAAACCCTAAACCCTAAACTAAGAACCCTAAACCCTAAACCCTGAACAACCCTAAACCCTAAAACCCAAGCCCTAAATCCTCAAACCCCTAAACCGGACCCTCAGGCGCAGCCCAGGCCCAAACTTCAAACTTCATCAGCGGACTCTCGGGACCAACAAGAGGCAATACATGGAGTGGTTGTCAAAACTTGGGTCCCTTTTTGGGTACCCTACTTGGAGGGACTTAGTAAGTAGTTATTTTAGAGACTTATAAGTACCATAACCCCAACTAGGGTCCCTTTTACGGCACTTATAATTCTACTTACTAAGTCCCCCGACCCTCCAAGTAAATATTAGGTGCCCCGGCCCAAACTAAGAAGACCCTAAACCCTAAACCCCATAGATCCCTTTAAGGAACCCTATAGATCCCTTTAAGAACCCTTACTAAGTCCCCTTAGGTGCCCCGGCCCAAGCTAAGAAGACCAGTTCTTCCGAGGCGAGGACTTGTCTTCGCAGCCCTTGCCCTCCTTCTTGCAGCAGTAGTCCTGGCAGATGCAGACCAGAGGTTTCGGGTTTGGCATATAAGGTTGAGGGTTTAGGGATTTAGGGTTTAGGGGTTGAGGGTTTAGGGAATAGGGGTTTAGGGGTTTAGGATTCACGGTTTCCGGTCTAGGTTTAGGGGTTTAGGGTTTAGGGTTTAGCGGGAGTTTCGGGTTTGGGGTTTAGTAGGTTTCGGGTTTAGGTTTAGGGTTTCGGGTTTAGTTAGGTTAATAGCATCTTGACGACGCCGTTGCGGTGATGATGTAGTGGAGCCGAGCAGGATTGTGATGGGTAAAATGAGGAGTAGTGATGGTGAGCAAGATGAGTGTGACGGCGATGATGTGGATGATCAGGAGGGGCAAGCAGATAATGATTGTAATGATATTGCCAAGATTCAAGACGTTCCGCCAAGTAGATAGATGTGCCTAACCCCATGACAGAAGGTTTGGTGATTCAACGGCGGGACTCAGGGTGTGGCAGTCTTGCAAACACGTTGTGGAGTTTGGAGTTTTATTAGCCTTCGAGGCCATGAGTGTCCTGTTTTTCGATGGTGGCTACATCCGGCAAGGTCCAGGTAACAAAGGAAACAGTGCTGAAACAACATATAGTACTCCCCTTAATTCCGAGAAAGCAGTCCAGACCGCGCACTTGGAGATCTCTGCAAACGAACCACACTTGAAGGCTGGTGGGACTTAGTAAGTAAGGTTATAAGTAGGTTATAAGTAGGATAACCCCACTTAGGGGACTTATAGCCGCAATTATAACCTACTTACTAAGCCCGATGATCCTTTAAGCAGCCTCCCAACGAAGGTCAAGCCCTTCGAACAGAAAAGAGCAGAGCTCTTTCGGAACAAAAAAAAGCCGGAAAACCCAAACCGCAAGCGCCTGCACCCCTGAGCCCATAGGGTCTCAGACACTAAACTCTAAGACCCTTAAGGCCTTCCACCTTGGACCTGAAACCCCTACTAAACTGCTGCAACTATCTACAACTTGTAGAGATCCAAAAGCTCCCAACAAAATCGATACTAAGCAGTCTTAAAACACGAGACCCTAGTAACTGCGATTGTAGAGACCCTTGTAAAGCAAAGTCCTCTTGCATGCTACTTTGATTTAACCACTGCTATAATATACAAAAGACTCCTAAGCGGCATCCCGGCAAGACTGCCAAAGGAAGTTCGCCTTCTTGTGCGAGGACCATCCCTTCCTCCAGTTCCAGAACCTTAGCAGCAGCTGGGTGCTCTTGACGAAGAACCCGAATAAGAACCCGTATAAAAACAACATTCCCTTTCATAAGAACCCTCATAAAGACCCCCAAAACCCTAAACCTTAAACCCAAAACCCAAAACCCTAAAACCCCAAACCTAAAGACCCCCAAAACCCTAAACCTTAAACCCTAAAAGGTGCAGCGGCCCTCTCTGTTCTGCAGCTTCAGCCCGCCTCATAGAGGCTTGCAGTTTCTATATTTGGGGGTTATGGGCCCAGGCTTTCTTAATCAGGTTCCTGCAGTAAACCCTGCCAAAATAGATTCTATACTGAATTTAGAACCCTAGCAAAAAACATAATTTTAGCTGTTTCTTAGGGAGAATAAGAACCAAAAATTAAAATTCATTTCTTAGGGATTCTAATAACCAAAAAGTATAATTATTTCTAAGTGCCCCTAAGGTTTGGGGTTCAGGGCTTGGGGCTGTTGTTGCCCACTTTGTCGGTGTAGAACCATGGCAAAATACGTCACCCTCCAGAAAGAAGGGATTTATTCATCAGGATAGATGTGGGTTTAGGGCTTGACTTTGGGATTTAGGATCATCCAAGACTCAGGGTCCAGGGCTTAAGGAATTTCAGAAATCGGGCCCTGATAACCCAAAAGTAGGACCCTACTGTGTTGCTGATCGCTGGTGCCCTCCAACCTTCTGAAGTTGGGATGCCAGTTGTCTGCAAACACCCGGCTTGACAAATTGTGCACGGTATTGGCAGTGTCCAGCGTCTCGCGACGATAGTTGATGGACCAGAAGTAGGCAATCATGTCTGTATCGAAAGTCCAGCCACTTTCGGGATCACCCTGCCAAGGAGGTATTTCTTCAGTAACTCTTTCCTGTGTTACGGTCCGCATTGTGTTTTGTTCGAGAGACAAGTATGATGAAGCTGCGCCTTAAAGAAAGGAACCCTTTGAACGGACCCTTTACAGGAACCCCTTGGAGGGAGCCCCCCCCCATGCAAAGAACATCCTGGTTCTGGTTAAGGAACTTAATTCAAGCTACCATGGTGCGGTCTTATAGTAAATACTATGGTTTCCTGATTTATTCTGGTAACTTAAACGGCACACCCTAAACCCTTAAAGGAACCCTTATGGATCCTTTATGGCTTCCTTATAATGGTAACTTAAACTACATCCTTTAAACCCTAAACACCTTTATAGATCCCTTTTACGGTAACTGAAACGAACTCCCTTCACAAGAGCCCAAACATGGGTTTCCCGGCCCACTGGAGCAGTTGAAAGCACCCAGCTCCTGCAAGGAACGCGGCTTCTACTGGGAGCTTCTTGGGTTTAGGGGTTTAGGGTTTAGGGAAGTAGGGAAGTAGGGCTACAAGTGTTCAGGGGTCTTGGGCTTAGGGAAGTAAGGCTAGAAGGGTTTAGGTCCTTTAAGTGGGTTCTATCTGGTCTCGCAAGGCACCCATCGTAACTCTTGAAATCCCCAACCCCCCCCCCCCCCCCCCCCCCCCCAATAAGCCACTGAAGTGAAAAGTTAAACTTTCCGATTCCTACTAAAATATAAGAACCCCAAAAAATTGAAGGTTGGGTATTGGGGATCTGAGATCCCCAAACCCACCCCCCCCCCCCCCCCCACGCCCTGACAGGCAAAGGCTTCCTCGCAGTAGAGACCCCACTTCGAGCAGCACCAGCGCTTCCTGGCACCATGGCTCAAATGGGAAAAGGAGGGACCCTTAATACGGACCCCTAGGTATATACCCTTAATACAGCTATGATATACCCATTATATAGCCCATTCTAGGCTAGGGGTCCCCATTAAGGGTCCCTCCCTTTTCCCTTTTGACATGGACCTCCAAGTAAGTCCTAAACCCTATACCCTTATAGAATCCCTATAGATCCCTTTAAAGGGACCCTTAAATTTAGGAGACCTATAACCCCACTTATAACTACCCATGAACCTCCAAGTTGAAAACACCCAAATCTCGGGTCTGGGGCCTTTTTTTCTTACCTTTGCGTAGTAGGGAATGGAAGAATGGTGGTATATAATGGGTTCCTTGAAAGGGCTTTTAAGGGATCTATAGGGTTTAGGGTTGAGGGGTTAGGGTTTACCTTTGGTTCGTAGGGGATGGAAGACTGGTAGTAATAGTAGATATAGTTGTACCCCATTCCTCCATTTTCTACTAAGCAAAGGTAAGTTTTGGGAGCTCCTTCTATTGGCTGCCATCCTAGTCAGAACGACGTCCACCAAGGCCTGTCGGTTTACGGTTTGGGGTCAGGGGTTTAGCACCAAAGAGGTTCATATCAGAAGAGTTTGCTTTTTCGGATTAGGGCAAAAAAAAGCAAGGTTGCCTACCCAGCCCCGTCAACGACTGTGGCCGAGGATGTAGGGCCGGGCCGACCCAAACGCGATTACGCTCCAGGATTGTGGGTTGATCATCAAACTACTACCATAGGCCCCAAAGTAGTTCCTTTTTGGGATTACCTTATAGGGTTCTATTTATGAACCCCCAAAACAAACTACTTAGGGTAGAGCATGAATCCTTTGCAAGCCCCTCAACCTGAAACCCTTAGCCGCCTCAACCGCAGACCCAGAAATCACTCACAGATGTTTCAGGGAAAACCAATCGCAATCCTACAGACCTTTATTGAGAAGCCCATGATTCTCCCCAATGCCCCTTTTCTTCTTGATCCTGGGGCTTCCCCCGGACTGGCCTTAACGCTTGAAACTTTGGGCATAGAGGGTTTAGCCGTTTACGGCTTAGGGGTGTAGAGTTTGGGCTTTAGGGGTTTAGGTGCTTCGGGTTTAGGGGTTTAGGGTGTAGGGGTTTAGGATTAAGGGTTTTAGCTGTACCTTAACCCCAAGAAGCATACGTTTCTCAGGACTTTTTTTCCAAGAAACTATAGTAAGGAACCTGACAGAGGGAGGCTTTGTAGGGTCCAGGTGGCTAGAGACGAACCACGCAACGGCCGCATTCGGATTTGGAGATAGTAGGTTTTCATCCGGGGGTGGCAGCTCCCAAGCAAAACGGAAAACTAGGCAAAAACAACAACTACTATGACCTCGCACGCTTCATGTCCTCAACCATGCTAGAAATTTAGTTGTTGTTGTGCGTGTGTATGTGTGTCTAGTTCCGTGTGCTCCTAGTGACTCCTAGTGTGTGTTTCGTTTTGTTTGTAAACCCTTTGATAGGCTCCAGAAATTATTTTACAGTAATCTATACTGTTTTCCATCTCTTAACCCGAGTAGCCGCATAAACTGTAAGACGAGGATCCCGAATGTAAGGACCCGCCCCCACCCCCAAACCCATAAAGTAGCGCTTGAGAAATCGAATCCTCCAACTCCCCCTAAACCCTAAACCCCTAAGCCAGCGCTTGACAATTCGCGCCGGCTCCGCTGCGTCTCCGACCAATCCTCGCGGTCTTTTGCCAGGCAGTCGAAGTGCAGCTTGTGAGGCACGATGCCTGCTTAAAACCACCCTTAGGACCATTAAAAAACATACTTTTTTAGTATTCTCTGGGGTCTTATGTGAACAAAAAATGCTAAGGAGACGGTTAAAGGTCCAAATTCTAAACTAAACCAACCCTAAATGTTTCAAGGGGATCCTGGTTAGTGACTTAGTGACAGAAGTGGCTGCTCAAAGCGTTCCTTTAAACGGCTGCCTAAAGAGTTTCACAAAGGTTTAGGGTTTTTGAGGCCTGCTTCTTCTGGCAAACCTAAAAGAAACCTTTACGAAGAGGAACCCTTCAAATCCCTGCTGAAATGATGATGGGACTCGCTAGGAAGGGTTTAGGTTTCCCTTGAGCAAGGTATCAGGATTTATATGATGCATGCTTGACGGAGCACAGGGTTCTCAACAAGGCAACTGCATACTTGCAGAACTTTCAAGGAACTCTTATCGCAGCCCTCTCAGCCCTACCATGGGACTGAGCAGCCAGGGCTATAAACAAGGCAACGTACTTTCATTCACTTATGACTTATAACCCCCATAGGGAAGGCACTGCTAATCTTACTTACTATGGGGCCCCAAAAAAGCACACAAGCAAAAATTAGGATAGGGATGTCCCATATAAACCCCCTTATAATGAAGCCCAAGAAGGTAGGGATACCCCAACAAAAATGCCTATGCTTAGGTGCTTTTTGGGCCCCTGATACTAAGCCCCATGATTCCTGGGATGTCAAGGCTTCAACTTCTTTTCTAAGGCGATGCAGCCCCGCCTGGCGCCGGCTTTGTGGAGGGCGTATCGATGATGTCGAGGCTTGCGGCATTCTGCACGCACAGCCATAGGGCTTATGTTATGGTATTGTGTGGCATGGGGGGTAGTAACAGTAGCAATTGCGGTAACATCTGAAAGTTGGAAACCGAAAAGGGACGACGGTTTTGGCCTTATAGGGGTTAGGATTAGGGGGAGCCCTGGGGATATGGACCCTCTCAATAAGGCCCCTTTCAAGACTTAGTTGCTGAGTTCATAAAGCAACCCCCAAAGCGTACACCTTTAGTTTTATAGTGGGTGATATTATCCCAAAAGGTGTAAAGTGTATCCGCTCAGCCACTAAGGGATTAGGGGGAGCCCTGGAAAAATAGACCCTCTCAGCAAGGTCCCTTTTAAGAGAGCCAAAATTAGGGTTAAGAAGTGTCCCCTCTAAAGAGGGGTCTCCATAACACCACCTAGGAGTTGAGGCGGGGTTTAGGGCGAACAGTAGAAGACCCAAAAGTTGGAAACCCAATAGCCTCAATCCTGAAGAGTGATGCAAAGGGAATCCCAGCACTATCTGGCCTTAATCCGGTTTCCAACTGTTTTTGGGCCCTATTTTGGCAACTGTCCTCCCAGCTGTTTCGGCCGGCGTTGCCACCGAACCTCAGTCAAGTTGCGAGGTTTCTCGCGCCACCAACACGGTTTTGGGCTGAGGGTTTACTTGGAGGTTTATGAGTAGTTATAAGTAGGGTAACTATAACTTATAACCCATATAAGGAGACTTATAACCCCACTTGTAACTACCCATGAACCTCTCGGCAAGGTGGAATTGTCAGTTTGAAGGGATACTATCGTTCATGCGCGGGAGGCAATCTCGGAACCAACTGGCCGAAAGTGCATGACGCGAAACCATAATAAGGAACCCGAAAACGGTATATAAGTTTTTTCGGCTACAGGTTGGATTCGAAATAGCAGTGGAAAAACATGCACCAGGAGGATAGACGTCTGCTCTGTCTAAGCCCCGAGCCGGTGTCCGTACTCCTTAGATGCTCCGGCAGAAAGCTGCCACTTTCACGGAGTTTAGGGGGGTTTAGGGGTTTAGGGCTGAGGGTTTAGGGTTTTAGGGTTTAGGGCTTTGAGGTTTATGTAGGGGTTTAGAGGTTCAGGATTTGGGGGTTGAGGCTCTAGAGTTCAGGTTTAGTTTTGAGGGGTTCGAGGGCAGAATAGGAACCCTGACTAAAATGATGCATACAGTTGATGATATAAATCCTGCATTGCCCATAACAAGGACTATGCCATAATTATGCAATTATTCCCATAGTCTAGGGTCACTAAGGCATTGCAGGATTTCTATCATCAGCCGTTTCTCACGGTGCGCTTCGAGCATCCAGTGGTGCGGCCGCCTGCTTCGGACAGCCGATACCTGCCGCAAGACACCCTAACCTAGGGACCTTAACAAGTAGAATAGGGTTCCTCAAAAGGCTTCCTTTAAGGGATACCCCGACAATAGTATAGGCAATTAATAAGGCCCGTATAGTAAACCCTAAAGCTTTCCTGGACCCTAAATATCAAACTTTTTTAGGGCTGCTTAGATAAGTTTAAACGGGTCCAAGTAAACCCTAAACCTTCTTTGGTGTTTATATAGGGCTTATATAGAGCCTCTATTGGGTTTGTGTAGGGTTTATATAGGGCTTCCATTACGTTTATGTAAGATATATACAGGGCTCCTATTGTGTTTGTGTAGGGTTTATATGGGGCCTCTATTGGGTTTATGTAGGGTCTATAAGGGTTGATGTAGGGTATTTGGGCTCCTAGCTTGGGGTTTACTAGGATACCTGGACCCCCAGAAACCTACCTTCTTGGGTTCCTTCTTATGATTTCCTTATATAAGTCCTTAAACCGGTGGGTTTTTGAGGGTCCAGGTAACTATACTGAACTTAGAACCCTAGCAAAAATTATAATTTTGGCTGTTTCTTAGGGGTTATAGTCACCAAAACTTAAAAAGTATTTCTAAGTACCTCTAAGGTAAGCCCTACAACAAAATGCACCAGCACCGGCGACCCTTAAGCTGCATGAGGGGCTCAAAAATCAACAACACCCTCAATTAAACACAACATATGTCGAACAGCACATAAAGGCTCCGCATATAGTTGAAGAAAACCTAAAGCCTAATCCCGAAACCATACTAGTTGTTTGACACTTCTGGGTCGAATATTTGTACAAAAGATACAGACCCTAAACCCTAAACCCTAAACCCTACAGACAATGCTCTAACTCTGTGACATTGGTTCAGGTTTTAGGGCTCATGGCATCTGAACCGCTTTAGGGTCGCTGTACCATCAGAGGCCCTGCATTAAAATCACATGGAAACCACCGTGAATCCTCTGATTATAACCTATAACCGTCCAAGTACTCGTCATTATATGAGTTTGGGGCTTTTGGTGGTACCTAAAACCATAAAACTAGAAGACAATTGGCCCGAAAGCATCATTAGCGAAGAGTTTAGCGCTACGTTATAGAATCCAGTGCATAGAATTATAGAGTCATAGCGCGAAGTGCATCTTATTATGAAGTATATGGCAATGCCGAGATCGATATTTTTGAATCTATGAACTTGACTCTACGTGTTTCACTCTGCGTTTCTCAGTCGATGTTGTCAAAGCTGTCGAAGCAGTGTATAAACTTAAGTATATGAAGTCAACTGCATACGGCGAAGCGCATAGAGTCAAGTGCATAAGTCAGGTGAATAAGTATCTAGAGTCATGGTGTCAAGTTGTTTCAGTGCAGCCAGATCCGGTGGTCGGTGATCGCATTATAGTGCTACGGTATCCTTGGTCGGAGCTGATCCAGCAGGGAAGACGGTAGAGATTCGATCGAAGCAGGTAAAGAACAGTCCTCAGTATGGTAAGATGATGCAACATGTTCATCCCTTCGAGCAAAGCATGCGGGTCATACATGTGCAATGAGAAAGCCTCTGCAATCGACGTAGAGATTCCGAGCCTGAATAAGTCATCGAGCAGGCACCGGCGACGCCTCATTGCAATACAAACTGACTCACGCAAGCAGTGACCAACGGCGGTGATTCCCCATGAAGCATCCTGCTCGGCAATGCGCCGCGATAGACTTAGAGCTTCCAACAACTCCGCTTGGGCAAATTTGCGCCCGGCTGACTTCTGCTGCGCATCCGCCAGCGACAGCGAGCCCACACAACTGATCCCGAGTCCGCTTCCCGAGCTCGTCGCGGAGCCAGGCTTCGCCGTGCTCGGCACAGCCCTCTCGCAGCTCCTGCAGCTTTTGCTCCGACGCAGCAACAGCATCGACCTGACAGCAAAGACTTCACGTGAAAGCACGAAACATCTAACCTGGCCACGACACTGACGCCTCACTGCAAGACAAATTGACACAGACAATGATCAACGACATCGATTCCCCATGAAGCCTCCTCCTCGACAATGCACTGTGATAGAGCTTATACCAATTCCAGCTTGGATAGAGTGCGCCAGGACGAGCCCTTTCGCAGGCCATTCAGCTGCTATGGCAGCAACACCATGTGTCCACCCCGGCCTTTTCGCAAGACAGTGTCTAGTCAGGCAAAGAACCGTCTTAAGTATGGTGAGATGCTGCAACGTATTTTCCCTTCCGAGCAGAGCGAGGCAGGTAAAGAACAGTCCTCAGTATGGTAAGATACTGCAAGATATTTCTCCTTTCGAGCAAAGCATGCGGGCCATACATGTGCAATGAGAAAGCCTCTATAATCGACGTAGAGATTCCGTGCCTGAATAAGTCATCGAGCAGGCACCGGCGACGCCTCATTGCAATGCAAACTGACTCACGCAGGCAGTGATCAACGACAGCGATTCCCCTTGAAGCGTCCTGCTCGGCAATGCGCCGCGATATTCTGCTGCGCATCCGCATTGACAGCGAGCCCACGCAACTGATCGCGAGTCCGCTTCCCGAGCTCGGCGCGGAGCCAGGCTTCGCCGTGCTCGGCACAGCCTTCTCGCAGCTCCTGCAGCTTTTGCTCCGACGCAGCAACAACATCGACCTGACAGCAAAAACTTCACGTGAAAGCACGAAACGCACGGAGCCAAGTTTCACCGTGCTCGCCAAACCCTCTCGCAGACCATTCAGCTGCTGTGGCGGCAACGCCATGGTACTATGTACTCCTACTACTACTACTACTACTATTATTATTATTACCATCTACTATTACTACTATTACTACTATTACTACTATTACTACTATTACTAGTATTACTACTATTACTACTATTACTACTATTACTATTATTACTACTATTACTACTATTACTCTTATTACTATTATTACTATTATTACTATTATTACTAGTATTACTAGTATTACTACTATTACTACTATTACTACTATTACTACTATTACTACTATTACTACTATTACTATTATCACTACTATTGCTCCTAACTCCTATTACTACTATTACTACTATTACTACTATTACTACTTTTTCTCCTAGTACTACTATTACTACAAAAGTGTTGACTTTACCTCGCGTTCGAACACTCGACAACGCCAATCTCTGTGAAGGGTTGCGAATTTCACTTCAATGCATATCAAAAGTAATAACTTTACCTCGCGTTCGTGCGTTCGACCACGCCAATCCCTGTGAAGGGTTGCAAAATTCAATTCAATGCACATCAAAAGTAGCAACTTTACCTAGCGTTCGTGCATTCGACCATGCCAATCCCTGTGAAGGGTTGCAAAATGCTAATCCCTGTGAAGGGTTGCAAATTGCACCTCAATGCACCTAAAAGCGCTTCAAAGTAGCAACTTTGCTTCGCGTTCGCGCACTCGATCATGCCAATCCCTGTGAAGGGTTGCAAGTTCGTGCACTCGACCACACCAATCCCTGTGAAGGGTTGCAAATTGCGCCTCGAAGCGCATCAAAAGTAGTAACTTTACCTCGCGTTTGGGCGCTCGACCATGCCAATCCCTGTGAAGGGTTGCGCGGCGCGCCTATTAAGTTAAAAAAATGTGTAACTTTACCTCGCGTTTGAACGCCCGAGGAGGCGAATCCCTGTGAAGGGTTGCGCGGCGCCCGAAAAATGTGTAACTTTACCTCGCGTTTGAACGATCGAGGAGGCGAATCCCTGTGAAGGGTTGCCCGGCGCCCGAAAAATGTGTAACTTTACCTCGCGATTGAACGCCCGAGGTGGCCAATCCCTGTGAAGGGTTCACCCGGGCGCCTAAAATGTGTAACTTTACCTAGCGTTTGGGCGCTCGACCAAGCCAATCCCTGTGAAGGGTTGCACGGGCACCGCATTAAGTTAAAAAATGTGTAACTTTACCTAGCGTTTGGGCGCTCGCCCATGCCAATCCCTGTGAAGGGTTCACCCGGGCGCCTAAAATGTGTAACTTTACCTAGCGTTTGGGCGCTCGAGGTGGCCAATCCCTGGGAAGGGTTGCGCGGGAACCCTAGAATGTGTAACTTTACCTAGCGTTTGGGCGCTCGAGGTGGCCAATCCCTGGGAAGGGTTGCATTCCCGATGGACGACGACGGCGCCACCCCTGGCTTTAGAAGAGAGATTAGATACCGAGATGTAGAGAGTATGTAGAGAGGTAGAGAGTAAGTCAGAGAGTAAATCAGAGAGTAAGTCAGAGAGTTAGTCAGAGAGTAAGTCAGAGAGTAAGTCACAGAGTAAGTCACAGAGTAAGTCAAGAGTAAGTATAGAGATAGCATAACATAGAGTCCAGTGTCAAGTGTCAAGTAAGTAAGTAAGTAGAGTGAAGTAAGTAAGTAGAGTGAAGTAAGTAAGTAAGTAAGTAAGTCGTAAGCATAACATAGAGTCAAGTATCAAGTGTAGAGTCAAGTATCATAGAGTCAAGTGTCAAGTGTAGAGAGTCAGTCATAGAGGTCAAGTAAGTAAGTAAGTATCAAGTGTAGAGTCAAGTATCAAGTGTAGAGTGAAGTAAAGTATGGAGTCAAGTAAGTTGATTCTATGTCTGTCATCTATGTACTCAGCTGCGGCGTTCCACACGGAAGAACCCTTCGCGATGCTTTCGGGAAAAAGACTACTTGGACCCTTAGGGTCACCTCCATAACGCCTACCCGAAGGCTCGACATGCACCTCAAGCACTTGTGGGCCTGTAAAGCTTGGGCCCTTGAGGGTGCCGTATTTAGCGGTTAAGTTTGTATCTTGGAGCTTGTCTCGGTGCTTAGAATTCAGGGTTAGGGTTTAGGGGTGCCTTAGGATTTCAAGATGTTCTCGGGTTACAACCAGGAATCCGCTATTGAGGGTCCATAATTGGGATCCGAGTTGCCAATATGCCGCACAAGGTTTAAACTTTCAGTTCTGTAACGGATAATACCACTACCGCAAGGTGTAAGGCATTCTGTATCTTACTCCCCCAATAAGCCACTGAAATCAAAGGCTGAACTTTCCGATTCCTACTAAAATACTAGAACCCAAAAAGTTAAAAGGTTGGGTATTGGGGATTTGAGGTATACAGAGTATATACTAAGCCAGGCTTGCCCTGTACAGCCTTTGAACAATGTAAGCGAAACATAGAGGCCTTAAAACTAGATTAGGTATGTAGTGTGTTATGTTGTACTACATCTACAATATGGGAAAGTACAAGATGTCCCCAAAAGCCTACTTAGTCTCACTGGCCCAAAGCCCAAGGAAATAAACTTTCAGAATCGACTACGTTGTACTTGCTCCCCAAAAAGCCACTGAAATGAACGACTAAACTTTCCCATTCTGGTCTAGTATAAGAGTCCAAAAAGTTTAAAGGTTAGGTATTGGGGATCTGAGTGAAAGGCTGAGCTTACAGCCAATAAGTAGTCATTCAGCAACCTATACTATTCTGGTGGTTCTTTATTCATTCAGGGAGGGATATTATAAAATGCTTATGCTTATGCCCCTTTGGGGTTCCTAAGCTTAGTACTTCAGCAACCAAGCTGGGGATGGCGCCTTTCACAATGCAGCAGAAGTCCCTCTCCCGATGATCCCACTCATCGGACTTCTTGCGGTCGCACTCGTGAGGGCCTCTGCTGAGTGCTTAGGTCCCTTAACCCCTAAACCCTCATAGAACCCTCGCTGGAACCCTAAGTTACATCTTTAGTTGCTGAGTTCATAAGCCCCCCAAAAAGTGTAGACTTTTAGTTTTATGGTGAGTGATATTATCCCAAAAAGTGTATCCACTCAGCTACCAAGCTGTTGAGGGTTTGGAGTGGCGTATTTAGGGGCTGCGCCCAGGTGCGGGCAGCGCGAGCTGTTGTCATAAACCCGCGGTATATAGTTAAGTGCAACGTAGGCCCGAAGTGCGCAACTTGTGGGTGATCGTAGGCTCTCAGCCCCCGTCGGCCCTGCATGTAGCCCCCACCCCCCGTCCGCCGGACCCCGCTGATGCTCATGATGCGCGCCCTTTGGCGGCTTCCGCAACCCATTCAAAAACTTGGGAGTTATGACTTCGCGCCCACGTCGCGCCGCCGGCGCCGGTTGCCGGCGCCCGAGGGCTCATGATGCTCGCCGGCTCGCCTCCTGGGGTCGTCCACGGCGGCCCCGAAACCCGCCACACCGCGGGGAATGGCTGCAAAACGCGTGCGCGTTCCGAGACGCCTTCGGGCCAGGCCCCGCGCGGCCCGAGGGAGAAACGAGGGTCCGATGATGCGGGGTCCGGGTGTCGGTCGTGGCTTCTGCTTCGCAGACGAAGCTCATTCGTCTGAGCCATAGCTCAGTCCATACAGGGCAGCGAAGCGCTGCCCGATTTCTTGCAGGGTCTGAATGGGACCGCTGACCTAGAAATCGTGAAGGCCCTCCAAGAGAGTAGGACAACATAGACTGCAAGCAATCCGTACTAATCCTAAGCCCTTGAATCCCAACTTCTACACGAAACTAAAAACCTCCCAAACTCCAAGGGTAAAAGGAGGGACCCTTAATGAGGACCCCCAGGTATATACCCTTAATATAGCTATTATATATCCATCATATAGCCCATTATAGGATAGGGGTCCTTATTAAGGGTCCCTCCTGTACCCCTTTGACAAACGAAACCCAAAACTGCAAGGGCTTATAACCCCAAATGTCCCTAAAACCCTGAACCCTACACCCTGAACATCCCCCTGAACCTTAAACCCCAAAGGCCTGGAGCACCTAAACCCCGGAAACCGTGTGCCCCTACTTAGAGGATCATGGGACTTAGTAAGTAGGTTATAATTGGGGTTATAAGTCCCCTAAGTGGGGTTATCCTAATTATAACCTACTTATAACCATACTTACTAAGTCCCATGAGCCTTCAAGTAAGCCCTAAGCCCTAAACCCCATATAGATCCCTTAAAGGAGCCCTATAGATTACTTTAAGGACCCCTAAAAGGAACCCTTACTAAGTCCCATGAGCCCTTCCAAGTAGTTATTTCGACGACTACACCGCAGCACTTTGCAGGATCCTGCTTCAGGCAAGAAATCTAGGATTTAGGGTATAAAGGGAACTCCAGAAAGGTGGAATATGGTTTCAGGGTAGGATACCCTATAATTTACCATAGAAGGGTTAGGATAATCATATTCCAACTCTCTGGCTTTTACATTATGGGTAGTTGTCAAAATAGGGGTCCCTTTTTGGGTACCCTAGATATTAGGTGCCGTAGTATATTAGGGACCCCAAAAGGGACCATAATTTTGACAACCATTCATATCTGCACCTTGTTTAAACCTTACGAGGCCTACCTGTCTTTTCGGATTTTGAGTGACTCGTATAAGGAAACCATGGTAAGGAACCTTAAACAGGCAGGTTTTTCAGGTCCAAGTAGGGATGAGGGAGACGATGGTTTAGCATTGAGGGTTGGGGTATTTATGGAGCCTCCTTGAATATCCGGTTCCTACTCTACCCTAAACCCTGGCTCCTAGGCCCGAAACACATGCTCCAGCCTGTTACTGTTGGGATTTCTGCTTCAACATAACCTGCTATTTGCTTAAGAAACACCCAAAAAATAAAAATAATAATCCCTATATTACCCCCATAAGGAATATATTTTTTATTTTTTGGGGGTTCTTAAGCAAATAGTAGTAACCCACATAGCCTGAAGAACCTGGGGGCTTCAAGCCCTAAACCCTTAAGGTGGGACCAAGCCGTCTGGGGGAGTTCTGCAGTCTCCCCCACCTACCTTCATCCCACCTTCCGAAGCCTAAACATCCACGACCCCCCTACCACCCCTATAATTTTTTGAAACTTGTTATGTATACACACATTTACACATGCATCCAAATAGAACCCTGAATTCGACACCGTATCCATGAGTATTCTGAACAGGGGCCGGTGGAAATTATAGATATGCATTAGAATCAGGAGCCTCGAAGAAGAGCCGACTCATTGCATTTTGCCCTGAACCCTAAACCCTATAGTAGCCCTTACAGTAACCTCTTACAGAACCCTTTAGCAGTTCCGATTCCCCCCCCTACTTTGCTCCAAAGTTGCCGGTGCTGTGCGTTGAGCACCAGCGGATCTTCGCCACGGACCAACCTTATGAGCTTCATCAGAAGCTTTGCATGTAGGGCAGGGCTCGATGCGTTTATATGCGTGGTTGTCAAAATTAGGGTCCCTTTCTGGGTACCCTAAATACTAGGTGCCGTATAAGAAAAAGGGGCCAAAAAGGGACCATAATTTGACAACCACTCATACAAGCTCTAGGGGCTCTAGGGTTTAAGCATGCATGGTTTGGGGCTTCGGGTGTAAGGGTTTGCAGGGTTTAGGGTTAGGGATGAGACCATTGTGTCAACTGTTCCCGTCTTGTCGGGTATCATGGGGAACTAAAGGTTAACCTTCGGGGTGTACAGGGATTATATAGGGACTATGCTATCCAAAAAAGGTGAGAGGTTACCTACTCTACTACTAGCTGGGGCTTTTAAGGCTTTTGAAAAATATTAGTAAATAAGATCCTCTTAAGCCCAATAAGGGAAAATATAAAATGTCCCAAAGCCCCACCTAGACTACTAGGGTTCTAGTGAAACACTCGAACCTTTGCATGCTCGGGACTCATGCTCTTGCATGTACCAACATGTGTAGTAATAGTTGTGCTGGCATGGGCTTAATTTACAGGCCTGCATTCATTACCAAAAGCCCTATCAAGGCCCCGTACAGTATCCTAAACCCTAAACCCTAAACCGTGATCGGAGGATCCAGGATGGAGTCTGAGGGAGCTTGGGTAACCTGATCTCTTCTCCTGCAGGTGGCAACACAATACCGTTCGACGCACCCGTTAGGGTTTAGGGTTTAGGGTTTAGGGCTTAGGGTTTAGGGTTTAGGGCTTAGGGTTTAGGGTTTAGGGCTTAGGGTTTAGGGTTTAGGGTTTAGCAAATCGAGCGCAACTGGTAACTAGCAAGAATGAACCGCCATGATTGTTGATTAGCAGGGCGTACAAGTTGTTGCTTTTGATTACTAGGACGTGTGGCATAACGGCTGGGAGTACCATGATGTCGTGGTTCTAGGTTCCCACTACGATTATCCGGAAGAGCCCAAATCAACATTGAAATCCAACAAGTCTGAAACCTCGAAACCTGAAACCCTCAACTTCCAAATCCCCGGAATCCGAAAGACCCAAACAACTTGTTACAAACAACCCTGAGAACCCAGCAAATCCCGGAGCCCCCAAAATGCAGTAAAACTTTAACCCGTTCATGTTCTTCCCTTTAGTATGTCAAATTTCCAGAAGAAGGAGCACTCTACAATGTATATCCAGTCCAAACTAGCAGACAAATCCCTAAACCCTGAACACGACAAGGATCCTTCTTATATAAGGATCTCGAAACGAGGTGGCCGTGGTTCAGGATACCATTTTCCGCATTGCAGTACCCTTCAAACACGCTAGTAAAGGGTCAGTATAATGGCCTTCACGATCAGAATGTGCTTGTTTGACAGGGTTACATTATACTCTGAGTGTCCAGAAACTGCAAGGCCTATTATAATACGGCACCCAATATTTAGGGTACCCAAAAAGGGACCCCAATTTTGACAACTACCCAATATGCTTTCGTGTCTCTGGCTCTGAGCATAACGGCCCAACATGGCCCAACAACGCAGTTAAGCAAAAGTGTGGGTGTGGGTGCTTCCTGGGGTCGTGATAGCAAGCCGGGGCGAAGGCTCGACTCAACCCCGTCACTGCAGTCGAAAAGCGCCTGCGTTTTAACGGTACCTAGAGTATAATGAGCCAACTGGATAGGATACCCTGTCATAGGCTGGTAAGCTTGCTAAGGAGGAGCCTGCTACTGCGGTGATCTATAGTACGGACTCTAGCGCTTAGGTTCTGTCTAGTATAGGTCCCACATTGATATATACTAGCACTTAGTAGACTCGGGTTCAGGGTGGAGGACCTGGTGTGTAAGGCCTTTCCGGAGTACTGTACGGTTTTACTCGTCCGCAAAAGGGAAACATGTCCTCCTCACTGTGGTATAGACTGCTAGGAGATGCAACAAAACCGGTCACAGAGACTTTCTTTTGAAGCATGCTCAGACAGTATTTTTGGAGGGATCAGAGACCAAGCATAACTGTACTCCCGAACACCCGAAACCTGAACTCCAAATCCGAAGCCCTTGAACAACAAAATCGAAGCCTGAACTCGAAACCCTAAACCCTACACTCTCCAAACCGGAAGCCTGAGAACACCGCTGCACTTTGCAAAGCTATAACCTGGACTTTTGTAGAATAATAGCCTTTTTTTGGATTTTGGGCCATTATTTTACTTACTTTTGGCGGGTCTAGGAAAAGCTCGCTTCTCCTCGTTGCTGTTGAAGGCAGCGAGCCAGAGCCTTGCGAAAATGGGGTTCGGCTTCGCGTGCGCTCCAGCGAGGTTCGAGGTCCTTTCCTTTTACACGGTTTTGGGCTTAGGGCTCCTTTTTGTTTAGGGTTTAGGGTCCAGGGTTTGAGGGAAGAGCTCGCTTTTCCGGGTTTAGGTTTTAGAGCTTGTGGCTTTAGGGCTCTGGATGTTGGTTTAGGGCTTCAGGTTTAGGATTGTGGGGTTGCTTTTTGAGATCTCAAGTCCTGTCAACACCGCTCCGGAGATACTTGGACGGCGCAGTTTAGAATGTTGAACAAAGAACACATAAGTAGACAAGATAAAACAAGTAGTGTGTGTGCATATATATATATATATATAAATATGTATACTGTATACATGTACACATCACAAGCATATATACATATATAGATATATAAATAAAAAATACATATGTATATATATATATATATACATATTATAAAAAAGCGTTCTCGGGGAGGGGCTTATAGAGTTTCGGTTTTCGGTGGCTTGAGAAATAGGTGGCGTAGTCGGGGGTTTACGGTTCAAGGGGCTCATGGGGCTTACGAGTCTTGCTTGCAGTAGATAACAGTTGAACTTCGGATGCCTCAAAGGTTGGGATGAAGGTATACTAATATTGACAACAACACTGGTAATAATAACTAACAAAAGGGAATAATGATATACGAGGACTCTGATTTTGGGATTGCCCCACCTAGCTGCATCACCCTTTGAGAACCGTTTCAAGCACCGGGTGCCCCAAGAATTCAACTGCCCGGTCGCAGAAGCACGGTAAACCGAACGTCCATCCCTGAACTCCAACACCGAAAACCCACAAGAGCCGTCGAATGAAGCCTGAATAGTCTTTCGGGTTTGAGGGAATACGCATAGGCCCCAAAGTAGTTCCTTTTTTAAGAATACCTTATAGGATTCTAAATTTGAACCCCCAAAAGGAACTACTTTGGGGCCTATGGGTATACTGTTCCGAATAGTTAAGACCCCTACGTCAACCTGGCAGTCCGGCCTGCAGTACTGCGCCTTGTCTTGCGACCACATCTCCTTCGTCCCGGTGAGGCCTCGGATAAATGAGGCCATAGCCTGGACCTTAAATTACCTTGGGTAGCCATGGAGCCCGGTGCTCCATAATTAAGGAATACACCTTAAACCACTAGGGCTTCATATTATGATTTGAGCTATGTTCCTTACTTAAGGGATATTGGGCTCTCTGGGTAGTGCCCCTAGCAAGTAAAGGTCTATATTAGGGGTCATACTCAGGGCTATACAAGTATATTCTGAACATATTCCAACTGTTGCAGAGTGGGGGAAACCCTAAATCGCGCTTACGGATTCACATCGCCTATATTGCAGAACTCAGAATAGGATCTTGAGGCATCTAATAGTAGAAAGACAAAGCGGGACTATAAGAGGACATCAGTATTGAGAATGCTGAGCTATCTCCAGATACCAGGGTTCTCCGGGCAAGCCCTAAACCCTAAACCCTGTCCAGACAGCAGGGTTCTCCGGGTCTGGAGTGCAACTCGGGTGCTTCAGACTTCTCTTTCGACGGACAAGATAAGGGGTGGCAGGTCTTTATTTACCTTTGGTTAGTAGGGAATGAAAGGGGCCTTATAAAGGGATCTATAAGGGTTACTATAAGGGATCTATAGGGGTACTATAATATAGGGGCCTTAATAATCCTATAGCTTAACCTTGGTTAGTAGGGAATGGAGGGGTACCATGATAACTACTATTACTACCAGTCTTCCATTCCCACTAACCAAAGGTAAGTCTTCCGACGGACAAGACAAGGGTGTCAGGTCTTTATGAGAGATACCAGAGAAGGTTTATAGGGTTTAGGGTATGTACGATTGAGTGAAGATCCTACTCCTTGGGTTCTAAGTTCCTTCCATACCACCCTGCCCTTCCATCCGGCACGACCTCTTCCCGAGCGAACAGAAAGTCGCAGCTCCAAGGCTAATCCGGCACGACCTCACTGCCCCTCTTCGAGTCATTACCTAAGAGCTGCCTGCAAAAAGGATGCTCCCAGCCGCGCAACAGGCAAACACCGAACTTGTAGGATGGCTCTATCGCTCAAACCCGATTCCCTCATTTGAACAAGTCTCTCAACTAGCCCTAAACTAGGATGCCCAGTTAACCTAGGAATAAAAAGGGCTCCCTTTCTGGTAATTGGATAACTTTATAAGGAACCTAGGCCTACAAAAAGGGAATACGGGTACTACTGGGCGTCCTAGTAAACCCTCGCGATACTAATCCCTCAACTTACTCTCTTCTTCAACAACCGGGCACCAACAAGTTCAAACTTTCCAAGGTAGAGCTTATATATATATATATATATATATGTATATATATATATATAAAGGCCAAAAAGTTTAAAGCGCGACGTGGAATAAGCTGCGTCCCCAGCGAAAGGCGTGAGACGAGCTTCGCGAATTTGCGAATTAAGCTCAGACCAAAAGTTTAAAGTTCACCCGTTCACTATCTAAGTCTCGCCAGGGCACAATCGTAACGCGGATGTCCCCCAACGGCCGAGGGATTCCATCCTCCGGGTTCAGGGAGCTCCGCAAAACCTCAAAACCCCGCAACCCTATGCCTAAACCCCTACTTTAGGGGCCAAATACTGGCCAATACGATTGTGGGGTTATAGTATAATACTCCCCAAAACCCTACTCGAATTACCTATAGTAAACCCCGAAGCGTTTCGAGTCTGAGGTCCTCCTCCGCCCTGCTGGTCTGGCAGAGGCGCGTGCGACTCCGTGGTGTCCTGAGTCGAGTTCTCGCGGTTCATGGCTTACCCAGCGGAGCGAGTTTAGGGTTTAGGGGGCGGAACGAAAGATCCCAACCAAACAGGGGAGGCCTGAATAACTCGATCAGGGGTTTAGGGTTTAGGGTTGAGGATCCCAACCCAAAATGGGAGGCCTGAATAATTCAACCAGGGTTTTTGGGCTGAACCCGAAGGTACAGAAGTCTTGTGCGCCATTACAACAAGGAGCCCTGAGGAACAGAACGACTTTTTGTTGCATGTCAACAATGCCCATGATGCGGCTGCCATGCCATGTCCTAAGGAAGATGAACCTAGAGGGCCCAATACCATTGTGAAACGGGGTCCCCGCAACGGTAGTATGCATGGACCCTCCGGGACTCTGGGCAAGCAAGATGAACTGTTTCCTACTTGTCCGGTATCATGGGGAACTAAAGGTTAACCTTTTTGATTATATACGGGTTATACAGGGATTATACTACCCCAAAAGGTTAAAGGGTACCATCTTCTACGACTAGGGTTTACTCGAAGATCTCAGGAGTTTGAGAAAGTAAGGAACTTCTAGTTCGGAGAGACTCAATATATCCTGAGAAACCATATGAACATCGATAAACCCCTAGAGCGCCCTGTTACCCCATACAGTTCTTATACAACGATGAAGAAACTCTATATTTGTTCAATTCCTTTTAAACTTCTGCGCCGCGATAATCAAACAACTTTAAACCTTTTCGACCCCTTATGTAGTACCCTTAATAATAAGCGCACCCTTTTTCCTACTCTTCGGTTCCAGAAAGGGAGCCAAAACAGAAAAAGGCAAAAGGGTACTGCTCAGGAGCCCCTATAATACTCTTATGGTATCCTTATAGAACCCTTAATGAACCCTAAACGCTTTAAGGTTTATAAGGTTTAGGGCTGCCAGAAATCGTCGACGCAGGCTTGTCAGAACTTCGGACTCAGCTCCACAGTCCCGATGCACGCGCCCCTAACCGCCCAAGTATTGAAAAACCATAAACCCTGAACCCTAAACTTTCCTAAACCCTAAACCTTGATCTCCCAACTACTAACCTACATAATTAACTACTATCCTAAACTCGAATACGCAATTATATTGTCCTTTGGACCCTTAAGGATTCCTTTTGGGGGGTTCCTTTAAGGGTTCCTTTGAATGAAAGGAACCCGTATAATACCTGGACCCTGAACAATCTACAATTAGTGATCTTTATCATGATTTGCGTATATAAGTCCTGACAAAGGTAGGATTTACAAGGTCCAGGGAGACCCTTATAGGACCCCTTGTCCTAAACCCTCAACCCTTATAATAGACCCACATAGGACCATTAGGGAAAGCCTAAACACCTCAACCCTTATGATAGACCCCTACAGGACCCTTGCGCACACCTGTCAGAACCGAGGTTGAGGTGCCTCACCTAATCCCTATATAAACCGTGATGCGCACACACAAAATTGAGCTAGCCCGCCTTGGGGTGCTGCTCCATGAAAAACAAGGTGACATTGCCCTCGGAGTCCATGAGACCGTGGCCCTCTGCGGCGATCGCCGGGTCCTCTTCGTCCGAATCGGATGCGGCATTGTCCGCTGGCGCTGGCGCTGCTGCACCGGTACCCGAGGCAGGTGGCACTGACGAAATCGAAAGCTTCTTGGTGCCGCCTGGATTCCACTTGTCGGTCCCGACGATGCCGCGAAAGATGTTTTCGCGCTCTTTGGTGGGGACCTTCACCATCGCACTTTTGTCCAGGATGGGCAACCCGCTCATGTTTTTGAACGCCGTGTTGCCCGGAACGAACCTTCTCTGAGTCGGTCGCCTTTCCTTCCAGAGCTTGGTGCTCTTCACCACATAAACTCTAAAACCCTTATAATGGGCCCTTATAGGACCCAGAAGGAAACCCTAAACCCTAGACTCCTTTTCTGGACCCTTATAGGACCCTGAACCCTTAATGGACGCTTCTTAAGACCCTAGGATCCATTAAGTGAATCCCCTAAGTCCCCTTTAACCCTAAACCCCAAATCCTAAACCCTAAATCCTGAACCCCAAACCCTGAACCCCAAACCCCAAGCCCTAAAGCCTAAACCCCAAACCCTAAACCCTAAACCGTAAGGGACCCTTATAAGACATTAGGATCCCTTAAAGAAACCCCTTAAATCCCCTTCGGGATGGACCCCAAAACCCCGCACTTTTCGATCGATGCCGGGCGTCGGGTTCCGAGCAGTCGACCGGGCCGCTGGGGCCCGTCTGCCTCGCAAGGGTTTAGGATTTAGGGGTTTAGGGTTTGGGGGTTTAGGGCTTAGGATTAGGGGATTATGGTTTAGGGGTTTAGGGGTTTAGGGCTGAAAGAGTGGGGTTTAGGGTTTAAAGCATTTTTGGCTGGGGTTTAGGGTTTCGGGCTTTAGGATTTAGGGCTTGCGGTTTAGGGGTTTAGTGGTTTAGGGTCTAGGGGTTTAGGATTTCGGGGCTTAGGGGTTTAAGGATTCAGGGGTTTAGGGCTTTAGGGGCTTAGTGGTTTAGGGTTTATAAGGTTTAAGAGTTTAGGGTTTAAGGGTTGAAGGGTTTAGGGGTTTAGGGTTTAGGGTTTGGGGGTTTAGGGGTTTAGGATTTAGGGCTTTAGGGGTTTAGGATTTAGGGCTTTAGGGGTTTAGGGGTTTAGGGTTTAGGGGTTTAGGGCTTAGGGTTTAGGGGTTCAGGGTTTAGGGGATTAGGGTTTCGGGGTTTAGGGGTTTAGGGCTTTAGGGGTTTAGGGGCTTCGCGGTTTAGAGGTTTAGGGCTTTAAGGGTTTAGGGCTTTGGGGGTTCAGGGCATTGGACATAGGGTTTAGGGGTTTAGGGTTTAAGGGTTTAGGACATAGGGGATTAGGGTTTCGGGGTTTAGGGGTTTAGGGCTTTAGGGGTTTAGGGGCTTCGTGGTTTAGAGGTTTAGGGGTTTAAGGGTTTAAGGGTTTAGGGCTTTAGGGGTTTAGGGCTTAAGGTTTTGGGGTTTAATGGTTTAGGGGTTTAGGGTTTAAGGGTTTAGGACTTAGGGGGTTACGGGTTCGGGGTTTAGGGGTTTGGGGGTTTATTGTTACTTTGATGGAAAGGGTTCTGAGATGGGATTTTTTTAGCCAGGGCTATAGCTATGGGTTCTAACAGAGGTTACAATCTATACGGGTTCCTGCACGGGTTGCAAAAAGGATTTGGTGTATCAAGGGACTTTGCAACCAGGGTCATGAACAAGGTAATGTTATGATCCTCCAAGTAAGTGCGAATACGTATCACATAGCAGGGTCTTAGACAACCTTTAGAAGGAAACAGGTTGAGCGTGTTCTCTACGCGTTTGATCGGTTGTTTCAGATTTCTTGAGGATGTGAAGGTTCCTCAGTATGCATCAAGCTAGATTCTATACTGCTACACCGTCGGTATTGGCAAGGTCCAGGTCATGAGAGTTTAAGGATTTAGCCCTAAACCCTATGCCCTAGTGTGTCCGTCCGCATCGTTCCTGCTACAGCACATACTCTCTTCTTCAACAACCGGGCCCGAAAAAAGTTCAAACTTTCCAAGGTAGAGCTAATATATAAGGCCAAAAAGTTTAAAGTTCCCCCGTTCACTATCTGTGTCTCTGACTTAAGGGCACGTGGACTAAGCGCTTCAGACATGGAGACAAAGCTTGCAAGTCAGGGTCTTTCTAAAGAGCTTGAGGTATGTCCAGAGCAAGAAAAGAAACGATGCTGGTGAAGAGCTGTAGCAGACAGAACACGGGCCGAAGCTGGTGTACTAAGACATCGCCCGGTGAGTGCGGTTTAGGGTTGAGGCTACAGTAGCTTCATCTTCATCATCAACAGGTTAAACTTTGACGAGAATCAAACATACTGATAATGAAATGGAAGCAAGGATGCATGCTACACGAAATCAACCCGAAACAGTTAATCAGGCTTCAATGAAATAGTGAATCCTACCAACCAGGAACCTAATCCCCATAACATACACTTTTGAACCATACATAACTCCAAAGCCCCTTACTCCCAAACCTAAAGCCCCAAACCCCTAACCCCAAAGCCCTGAACCCTAAATCCTTTCAAATCCTAACAGCAGCTCCCATACACTGCTGCAAAGGGGCGCCGGGGGCGGCCGCTCATTCGCATGGCAGTGCATGGCGCGATTCCTCTTTGCTTGAGACATGGACTGATAAGGCTCTGGCTTACAAGGCTTAAGATCTAAGGGTTTAGGGATCAGCGTAATACATTCCGTGCACACCACGCAAGACCTGTGTTGTGGTGTCACGTCTCTCTCCTAACCCACCCACCCAGTGTATGACCCTTACAAGCGATTTGTGGCTTGGACTTGACTGCCTCTGCTCCCTTTGCTTTGTTTTCGGTGAATGTTTGGAATTTCTGGCTTATATAGGGCCGCAAAATAGCACATGAGCAAAAAGTAGGATAGAGATATCCCATATAAGCCCCCGTATAAGCAAGCCCATTAAGGTAGGGATATCCCTATAAAATACTCATGCTTATGTGCTTTTTTGGCCCCTAATTATAGCCTTCGGTGCCACGTCTGGGGTGCTGTGAGGCCTTTGGAGCTTTTTCGGAGTGACCCGAGAAGGCTGCAAAGGAACCCTAAACCTTGAGTACGGCCCCCATACAGTAAGAGTCTATAATAGGGCTACTATTAAGGTCCTTATACCTCTATATGGGTAGTTGTCAAAATTATGGTCCCTTTTTGGGTACCCTAAATATTAGGCGCCGTATTAAACTAAGGACCCAAAAAGGGACCCTAATTTGACAACCACCCATATTATGAGTATTATCCAACGGTTACTGAGTGGGGGCCGTACCCAACCTAAACCCTTATGGAACCTGTTACAGGAACCCTGCTCTCCCCTCAAGGGAACCGCAAAAAGCCATTGTAGAACCCAGAGAGCCTCATATACCTTAATGAAGGAATATATAAATAAAAATATATATATATATATATATATATATATATAATTATATATATATATATATTTATTTATTTACTTATTTGTATATACGGATATTCACAAACCTTAAAACATCATATGAAGCTCCCTGTGGTTTAACGTATATTCCTTATTTTCCGACTACGGGGTATTGGGCTCTCTGGAAACCAGAATCCTAAAAAGGAACAGCAAATCTAAACCCCTTGAAGGAACTGCAAAACCACTAAAGGAACCCCTCTACAGGACCCGGAAGACCTTGTAGAACCCCGCAGAAGCCTCCTCGTCCAGATTTGATGGGAGGCCAAAAGGGGGGTTTTAGATTCTTGGGGTAGGGATTCCTTAATATGAACCCTATTATGGGAACCCTAATCCCTACTAAACCCCCATAGGCTAAAACCCTAAAACCTAAAGCCCTAAAACCCTAAAACCCCTTTTGGCCTCCTATGAAGATTTCAAGGACCCCACGCAGGGCTCCGGTCTGGTTGGCTTTGCGGGGGGGCCCAGCGCTTTGTGGGGAAGCCCCAAATCTAGTTCATGGTCGGGATAAGATTAGAAATGTACATTTTGGTACTTATTGGGTTTAAGTACCTATAAAAAATCGGGATAAGATTAAACATGTACATTTTAGTCCTCATTGGGTGGAAGTACCAAAAAAATGTAAAATGTTTCCCAACTATGACAAAGAAACCCAACATCCAGAACCCCAAAACCAGGACCCAAATTCCAAAACCAACCCTGAACAAGAGGAACTCTCCTGCAGCACCAGCCACGACGCTTCTCGGAGGAAATCCTTGGGCGAGCGGGCGGCGGCTTCTCTGATTGAACTAGGTTGAGATTTGGGGATTTGGGGGTCAGGCTTTATACCATCTCTGGTTTAGGGTTGCAGAGCTTCGGATTTGAGGGTAGCAGGGTTTATTTTCTGACGCGCCAACTCGGGATAGGAAACTAGGCCTTTGGGGGCCGTGTGGGGAATGACCCCACTGAAGATGGCATTGGCGGGGCCTGAATGATTAGAATCTATACTGAACTTAGAACCCTAGCAAAAATGTAACTGTAACTTTAGCTGTTTCTTAGGAATTATAATCACCAAATAAAAATTAAGAGTTATTTCTACGTACCCCTAAGGAATAAGGTGTTGGAGCAGATTGACACCTATCCCGCCCCCTATAGTAAGCACAGTGGGTCCGGCAGCCAATCGGCTATTGGAGCGAAACCGCAAGTGAAAGATCCTAAACCACCCCCTTCTCTTCAGTCTCCGCACGGTTTGGGGAGGTTAGCGGGTTTAAGAGCTTTAGAGGTTAAAAACCCCCAAAACCACACACCGGCCTTAAACTCTCGGTTTCCTCCTTCTCGCAAAGCATCTGAGGAATCCTAAACCCCAAACCCGAAACCGCAAAACCTAAATCCTAAACTTGCAAAAACCCTAAGCCGCCGAGCATCTGAGGAATGGCAGAGCAGTCATAGGGGCAGGCTCTCGAGAAGAGCTCGTGCTTGCAGCAGTATCGTATCTTCCTTGGCCACAACTTCGGGTGCTCCGGAGGACCCCCCAAAACTGTATATGTACATGTACATATATACATGTGTATATAGACACACATATATATATATATATGTATGTACGTATATAGATATATATCTATACCTGTACCTATATCTATATCTATATCTATATATATATATATATATATATATGTACTTCACAGCCCCCACCCCCCACCCCCCCCCAAAGCATAGGACCGAATGGACCGGGGATTGCTGAAGATGCTAACCCGGTGTAAACCAGCTTTCCTGTGAGCTAAGGTGTGAGCGCAACATCACTGACGGTACTGCGGAACTGTTGTGCGACTCCGGAATCAAGTGGCATCAGGCAACTCTCATCACCCCTAGCCTCAACACTCAAACGCCTTAAACCCTAGACCCCAAAACGCCGGAAAACCTAAAAGCGAAAAACCCACCAAACATCTAGACCCTCAACCCCTAAACCCCTAAACCCCATGAGCCCTAAACCCTCAAGCACACCCGAAGAGGCTGTCTGATTCTTCTGGGCCGGGTCTCAGGACCTTGGGGGTAATACAGGGGACTTACTTGGAGGTTCATTTGCAGGTATAAGTGGGGTTATAGGTCTCCTAAATTTAAGGGTCCCTTTAAAGGGATCTATAGGGATTCTTTCAGGGTATAGGGTTTAGGACTTAGATGGAAGTCCATGTCAAAGGGGAAAAGGAGGGACCCTTAATGGGGACCCTTACCCTATAATGGGCTCTATATAATGGGTATATAATAGCTCTATTATGGGTATATACCTATGGGTCCTTATTAAGGGTCCCTCCTTTTGCCCTTGGACCATGGGTAGTTATAAGTGGTGTCATAAGTCCCCTAATATGGGCTAGATGTTTGGTTACCTTACTAATAAGAAACTACCCATGAACCTCCAAGTGTTGTGGCTTTGTGGAATACTCCAGTATGGTTATCATAAGGAAGCCTCAAGAATACTATGGCACTTCAGAAAGGTGTGTAGTAGAGTCACAGCCGGGGCTATATGTAATGGGCTCCAACCTTTCTAGCAACAACTCAATGGCCCTTCCCTATACTGAACTTAGAACCCTAGCAAAAATAATAATTGCAGCTGTTTCTTAGGGATTATAATGATCAAAAATCAAAAAAATCTAATTTCTAATTACCCCTCAGTTCCATTTCCGGCCATGTAGCGATGTCCTGTAGTATTCCCCCATGCCTGCGTCGTAGCTCTTGCAGTGGAGGACCTTATCTCCCACTGCAATTCACATTTGCGGTTGCATGTTCGGTTGCAGGGCTGAGACTTTGTACGGCCAAGGTTTCACTTGATTTTGGGTTGAAGCCTTCGGACTTTACAGTTAGGTTCGGGCTCCAGGACTGTTTTGCTAAATCCTGGTCGCTCGGAATGCTTGCCGCGTTGAATAAACGTACGTCCAGTATATTCGAAACAAGATGCCAGGTTCAATCCCCATCCGGCATCAGCATCCGTGCGCTTGGCACAGATCCTCGCAGCAGGGGGCGGGGAGGGGCTTGGAGGGTTTTGGGCTTTGGGGCGTTTCAGCTCTCAGCGTGGTTCTCTTGGCTTCACTCACACAGCAACAAGACAAACACTGAAACGGTGAGGGTGGTGGAGGTAGCATTTCTGTTCCGCTGATGCAGATGATGTTCTGTATGCTGCTTTTGGTGATGATGGCGATAGTGATGATGGCATGGTTCTACTTGGAGGTTCATGGGTAGTTAGAAGTAAGGTTATAAGTAGGATAGCTACTAGATCATACTTAACCCATATTCGTGGACTTATAAACCCCACTTATATAACCGCCCATGAATCGAACCTCCAAGTAGTGATGATCATGGCGACGGTGACCATGCTGATGGTCAACGACATGATAGTGCTCAGGTATACTTCGGGAGTCCGATCGTTGTGGGATACCCTGCAGCATCACCACCCTACCATCACGCCATCTTCGCAACCAGACTCATTAACATCGTCGTCGTCATAGTGTCACAACCGCTGGTGTTTCCTGCCAGCTCCTCGTGTCCTCTCCTCTCCCTCCTCCCTTGCAATCTCCTCCTCCTCCTCCTCCTCCTCCTCATCATCATCATCATCAGCACCATCACCCAGTTAAGGTATGGAGTCGTGGGATTCAATGCACCTGGGCATCCTGAACACGAGCCCCCGTGTATCTAGAACCTTGTGCCACCAAGCCCTAACAGAAGCCGAGGTCAACTGCAAGAATACCGCAAACATGCCAGACATTCCGCAACCCGAAACCCTAACAGACAACTTCCCAAGAACCAGTTGGCCTGCCAAGCGCGGAAAACACCGCAGAGCGCTAACTTAAGGTCTATTCCGGCGCAGGCGGAACTGTACTCTGATCTAGATACATGGGGGCTGTGAGGGGTTACTATTGCAAAGGGTACAGAATATACCTCTATTTGGGAGGTCTCGCGTTTATGACTCTAGGTTCTATTCGGGTTTTCTGGCGGTAAGGTATGGCATTTGGTGCTTGTCGATCTTGGGATATGTAGTTACGGAATGGACCAATCGTCGATGAAGTCTGACCCTAAACCCTAAATATCGCCGCCAAGCAGCTGATTGTTCTCCTCGTAGATGTGGAAAGTATCGGGCCACTGACCGGTTCGTCCCACCTGCTCCGCCGTGTCGTCGCAGTAAACACCTGGTGCCCACGATGAGCTCTTTGCTTCACGAATTCGAATCCCAGACCCCCGAGAGGATCCAACAAGTAGATCCCTTAATGGGGGTTCCTATAAAGTACCCTTAGTAGTATAGGGCCCCAAACTAGGGGATCTACAAACTAGATCCTCTGCAAAACTGAATCCTTGCTTTTGTGCAGAAACCCCCGGCAAGAACACATTCGTAAAATGCAGTGGAGTGAGGTGGCGAATAATCCCGAGTTTACCTCCTCCCCCAATTAGCCACTGAAAAGAAAGGTTAAACTTTTCGACTCCTACTAAAATATAAGAACCCAAAAAGTTTAAAGGTTGGCTACTATTTGCTTAAGAACACCCCCCAAAAAAAATGATAATCCCTATATTATCCCTATAAGGAATACATTTTTGTTATTTTTTGGGGGTTCTTAAGCAAATAGTAGTTGGATATTGGGGATCCGAGCTTCGGGCGCTCCTGGTCAAGTCAAGGCTTTCGGATCGCGAACCTCAAGCACGAACTCCTCGCTTCGGTCTGCAGCTAACCATGGTTAAGTGTTGGTAGCTCGAGTCGAAGTGCAGAGCGAGGATTCGGCGTAGACCTACGTGGGAGGTTCCGAAAATTAGGGGTTACCTTATTTCGGGGTCCTTTTTATAAGGATCCTACTATTTAGGGCACTATATTCGGGTCCCACATTTTCGGAAACCCCCACATGCCAACACACATACACCAAACACAAGCCTCACAATGGTAACTCGGAAAGGCTACCCGCCATACGCCCGAAAGAGTAGCTTCAAATCAAAAAAATTGAACTACCGTTGTGGCTGCTCCTGCAACCATGAACCCACACCATCCAGCCCTACATTGCAATTCGTCTTCTGCTTGTGCTTCCAACAACTAAACCAACCAAAACACCCCTGAAATCTAAACCAAAAGCCCTATACTACCCAAAAGCCCAACTTAAACTCGCCCGACCTCCAAACCCGAACCCCCCCCCCCCCGACAACCCCGTGAGCTCCAAACACATCACTTCCGGAGAACTTAGACAAGTAGTTGAAGTAGCCCCATTAAGGTAAAAGCCAGAAAGTTGGAATATGATTATCCTAACTCTTCTCTTAGGGTATCCTACCATGAAACCTTATTCCAACTTTCTGGAGTTCCCTGTAAGCCGACTCGTAGCAGCAATGACCGGCATAGTCATGGACATCATGCCTAGGTTGGCCCTTGAAAGCCTCTGAAACAGATTCGTAAATAGGGACCTATTAAACCCAATAAGGGAAAATATAAAATGTCCCAAAGGCCTGATGCCAATAACCATGGCAATTAATATGGGAGTTTCCGAAAATTAGAGGGTACCTGATTTCGGGGTCCTGATAATAAGAATCCTACTCTTATTGTACTATATCAGGGTCCCCCTATTTTCGGAAGCTCCCATATCACAATAATAGTTCTCTAATACTGAGTTGCTGAGTTCATAAGCCCCAAAAAGTGTACACTTTGAGTTTTATAGTGGGGAATTTTATGCCAGAAAGTGTAAAGTGTGTCCACTCAGCTACTAAGAATTCTTCTAGCAAGTGTGGTAGCAACCAGTCGTGGCCTGGCTGGCTGGCAACGCACTTCACGGATGAGTCTGGGCTCTCCCCGATGGTCACCTCCGTACCTCCGCCGCAGTTCCCAGACACTCCCAAGGGCCCAAGGGTTTTAGGGTTTAATAATTCAAGAATGTATGTTAAGGGTTCCTTTCAGGATTCCTTTATGGGCTCCTTTAAAGCTTGCTGTAAGGGTTCCTTACTAATTCGAACGGGGTTTGGGCTCCTTTGTGTTAGAGTTGTAGTAAGGAAGTCTCAGGGAGTCGAAAGAGTATTGGTACTTAATTCGGCTTGTATACTACCTTGATCCCAAAAACCCTATACCCTGTAATTTGTTCAACCATATCAAACAACTGCTTTGTTGAAGGATTTTGGAGTCTCTACGCTTCCTCAAGCGAGACATTAACTCACGACACCGACCTCACACCTTTGACCCTAAAGCGATCGCAGTGGTCCCTAGCTCTAGACCCCAACTGAAGCACAAGAATTCTATTTATAACGTGCTTGCCAATCCTGAAAAACTCTCCGGATCGTAGCTTCAGTCAAAGTATGTCTTGAAGTAAACCCGAAACCCCCAAAAGGTCCTAAGTACCTGTATGGTAGAATGTAGGGTTTCTATATTAGGAATTACTATTATGATCCAGGGAAGTATCCCCCATAACACTACATAGGACCCTTTGGGACCCAAAACCCGAGATTCCAAACCCTATGCCTCAAACCTCAAAGGTCAGCTCAAGGGTGTTTGTCAAGATTCTGGTCCCTTTTGGGGGCCCTATTTAAGTACGTCACCTAATATTTAGGATACCCAAAAAGGGCCCATAATTTTGACCACCACCCAGGTCTCTGGCCTCCAGAACTTGCGCCTCCGCCAAAATGGCCGCCACCATGGTGGCCATGGACCCTGCACTGGATGACAAGGTGAAGGCCCCAGCCGGCGTTGGCGTCGGTGCGATGGGCACAGATCCTCAGATAAACCCAAAACCAAAACCCTAAACCCTGAGCACTAAAGCCTAAGCCCTAATCGTAAGCCCTAAACCCTATGTTATGCCAAAACCAGAAGCCTCTGGTCGGGGATCCTTAGCTGAGTATATAAAGCAATCACAGCAACTCGTAGCGGCCTAGCGAACCCTCTTCAAGTTCCTTCCACTATGGGCTATTAGACCTTAAGGGTACCTTAATCTACCCTTAATAGGGTCCTAATAGGGATCTTTAGGGTCTAGTAGCCCATAGTGGTTGTTCACCCTTCAAACTTCATAAGACCTTCTGCCCCAACAGTCTCAAATCTTGTACAACCCGTGCTGGAACCTTCATCAGGCCGAATCAAGCCCCCGATTCCGAAGCCCTCTGCATACACCCCAAGCCTTCGACCCTGAATCCTGTATGTCTTCAGAAGAGAGGCTGCTGGGAACCGTCATGGTAGATATGGAAGGTGTCCGGATACTCCTCGGCCAGTCGGACATGGCTTGGGGCTTCAGGCTTAGGGTGGAGCCGCAGGAAGGACTTCGGTAATTCCGTGAAGATTCTCTGGGTGTTCTATTTTTGAGGGCTCTCTTGAGAGTTTGACCTCGACTCTATCTGATTATCTGTGGATCCCACAAGCTGACGCTATAATCCAGAGTTTGGAGCTACATGCATCTATTGCACCGAAGCATCGCAAATCCTAAATCCTAAATTCCTCAACCCAAATCTCAGGAGCTAAACTTCAAACCCTCAAACCCTAGAGTTTAAAACTCCAAACCCGCAACCCTAACCGTATAGTAAACCTCGACAGAGGTGGCTGCAAGTTGGTGTCGGGCAAAGCTTATGGCCAGTTTAACGAAGCACCCAATGTAGAGGCAGCCAGGCTTCCAAGGGAAGCTTTTAGGCAGGGCTTCCCATTATGGTATCATGAGGGCACTATGAGGATTAGGCTTTTTGGGTTTAAACGGCTTAAGGCTTGAAGGTTTAGGTATTAGGGGGTTCAGTGAAAAGCGCCTGAACCCTGAACCGTACAATCTCCTCATGCCCAATTCATGTCACCTTAAAAGCCGTCCTCATGCATGCACAGAAGTTGTTGCGTTCAAGCTGAAACACATTGCAAGCAACTTCTTAAGCCAGACAAAGGACTTTCGTTCCAGAGCCCAGATGTCGCAGCCACTTGTAGCGATTTCCACCAGAGGACTAATTCCGTTCGCTTTCATAATCAGGATCCTAATGCTGGGTCCCTTAACGACGAGGGGTTTATTGATCCGTGTGGTTGTCAAAATTATGGTCGATTTTTGAGGTCCCTATTATAAGACGGCACCTATTATTTGGGGGGGTGCCCGAAAAGGGACCTTAAGTTTTGACAACTACCCATAACTATAAGGAGCCCCTCTACATCATTTTGAGACAAGGCTCCCCATTACGTCCCTTCTGCTCCGCGCTGTCGTCACAATGCACGTGACCGGGATCGGCTACACACTTAGTGGCAGAGTCTGGATTGCTCCCGAAGACGACCTCACCTTCGGGGATCAAGATTTGTTGAGGTTTAGGGCTGGGGATTAATTGGGGTGTAGGTGTTCAGGGTTAACAAGGTTGCGGCGCTACTGTACTATGGAGGGTGCAAAGGAAGCGCTATGCTTGAAGGATTCCTCAAGTGATAGCTCCGATTCCGGGCAAGGGTTGTTGGATGCATACGAGCTTGGATTACACAAGAAACTGTGACTAAAACCCACCCCTAACTTAGTTGCTGAGTTCATAAGCCCCAAAACGTGTAGACTTTCAGTTCTATAGTTGGCAATATCATCCCCCAAAATTGTAAAGTGTATCCACTCAGCTACTGAGCTAAAGTTGTTCAGGCTCCCTGATAATGGCTGAAAAAGTCGACTGCAATTGCAGTTCTTGAGATAGCCACCCTTCAACCAGTGGCATGCAGAGTTTTACCGGACCACTGCTTTAATTACCCAGGCCCCTACATTAAGTCCCCTAATATGGGCTAAAAGTATCGTTACCCTCCGCCTTCTAACTTCACGTATAAGTAGCCCTGAGCCTCCAAGTAGAAGCCCTACACCCTAAACCCTAAACCATGAATCCTAGACCCAAAACCCTCGACCCTAAACCCTAGGCCCAAACCCTAAACCCCCTAATTAAACCCGTGAGCCTCCAAGTACAGCCCCTTCCCCTTCCCTGGCCCGCGCCTGAGGGGGAGGAGCTGCTTCCACCGAAGCTTCCGCCTCCTCCGAAGTGGCCGCCACCGTGGCCGTGGACCCTGCACCTGGGTTCTTGAGAGAGGGTTTAAAGTTTTGTTACCATACAACGGAATTTGACTGGTTCTTGGAAGGGATGTAACTTACAGTCAAGTTCCCATAAGAAGGAACTTAACTTAAGCTACGTACTCAGGAAACTCATATTACTACAGATCAGGAATATCTAACTTAGGTTCCATAAAAGTAAAACAATACTATCATTAGTACATTACGTTGATTCTTGTCACGGCTAGTTATATGTTTGCTACAGATCTGTCTTATGGTGACGTAGAACAACTTCCTCAACAAGAGCCCTGGCACTGGATGACAAGGTGAAGGCCCCAGCCGGCGTTGGCATCGGTGCGATGGGCACAGATCCTTAGCAGCAAAACTGCTGTGACGTGCACAGACCCTCGGCAGAACCAGGGCTAAAAGTAAGGTAACTATACTGAAGGTTACATAAAACCCAATTAAGGTACTTATGTATACACATGTATACATATATATATCCTTACTTACTACTTCCATTAGGGAAAGTAACTATACTTATAATTGATTCTCTTTGACCGCAATTGAGGTACTTACATATAACCTTACTCACTAAGTCCCACAGGGTGCTGTACCACGTCCTGGGGCTTTCCACCTTGTAGCAAAGACTCTGGCCGCCGTTATGGTAGATGTGGAAGCTGTCCGGGTACTCCTTGGCCGCTTCTCGATCCCAAATCTGGAACATGGACCACCGCAAAAGGCGAGGGAGATTAAACAGAATGTAAACCTGCAGAGCCACATACTATTAGACTTTATCTACATCCGTACTACGTTACTACATATGTAACATGCATTATACTTCGCATCAATCCGCCCTCTATCCACCCATCCATCCGTCCATCCAGGGGATCCACATGCACAGTCATAAGAACATGGTTGCATTCATTGATTCGTCGGGTTCCGGCAAACATGCTTGGCACATGCAATCCAAGGTCCGGCGATATACAAATAGATGGGAAGAATTGACATATGTGTATGAACATACATATGTATGTACACACTATATGTATACATATCCAAACACAAAGGTGTAGGTTGAGGGCTTGCAGACAAAGCTCTCCAGTACGGCCCTTTTGCTCGGCAGTGTCGTCACAGTGCACGTGGCCCGGATCGTCCACGCACTTCCTTGGGTGACTTCATCTCAATCTCGTCTCAACGTTTACTGTCTGGCTCTTAATAGGGAACGGGGGAATGGATTATGGAGACTATTATTGGGGATTATATGGGGGACTACTTTAGGGATCCATTCCCCCATTCCCTACTAGGATGCCCAATAAACTAGGAATAGAAAGGGCTCCCTATGGGATTGAGTAACTTTATAAGGAACCTAGGACTACAAAAAGGGAATAAGGGCACTGCTGGGCATCCTGGCCTACTAAGCACCAGGGAGTTTATGAAGGCTTCTCTCAAAGGGGAAAAGGAGGGACCCTTAATGGGGACCCCTACCCTATAATGGGCTATATAATGGGTATATAATCGCTATATTAAGGGTATATACCTAGGAGTCCTTATTAAGGGTCCCTCCTTTTGCCCTTGGATTCTCAATCTTGTCTCAACCTTTGGTCTTTCGAGGGTCTGGGAACTCAAAAAACCGCAGTTTAGGAGTTTAGGGTTTAAGGCTAGGGTTGAGGGTTTAGGGGTTTAGGGGTTTAGGGGCTTAGGGGTTTAGGAGTTTAGGATTTAGGTGGACTTTGAAGGCTTTTATAGGACTCATGAACAAAAAAGACCCTAAACCCTAAGTTTAGGTTTAGGGTAATTAGGGTTTCGGGAGCTTCCCTCGAATCTAGTGTTGGTTGCAAGATTGCAAAGAGGCAATCTGGAAATGCAGGCGGCTCAATCTATAAGACCCTTAGACCCAGAAGCAAGCTCTTGGAGTCCAGAGCCCTTCGGGCTGGCACTACTCAAAGAGAGCCCCAGAATCCCTTACTGAAGGAATAGAGCTTGAATCATAATATTAAGCCCTATATTATTTGAGCCATATTCCTGAATTAAGGGGAATTGGGCTCTTTGGGTATGCGATAAGAAACTTGACTTGGTTCATAAGGAACAACCAGAAATTACTTGGAGGTTCATAGGTAGTTATAAGTAGGGTTGCTATACTTATAGCCCATACTAGGGGACTTATAGCCCACTTATAACTACCCATGAACCTCCAAGTAGGCAACCAGGGGAGAGCCAAGCAGCGTAGCGGAGTCCAAGTTGCTCCCGAACACGATCTCGCCTACCCACTGCTGCTCTTTGTCCAAACAAACCGCTAGGGCTTGAGGCATCGCGCTTTTGGTTTGGGGAGAAGGGCTTAATTATGTGGGGTTCGGTGCTTAACCCTGTAGGCTAAACGCCCAGGCAACTCCGATAAAACTCTTGGCCTCAAGGGCTTTTAAGTCCGCAACCCCTCAACCTGAAGAACCTCACTATCCCACCGCAGCCTAAAAGCCACAAGAACCCAAACCGTTAAACTTACATAACCCTATAACAGCTCATACATCCACATTTCACCCATGAAGGCTAGCAAGATCTGCTTCAGGGCGCTGAAGCTGTTTATCATCCACGGAGTGACTTACGAGTTTCAGACAACAAAGTGACCGCATTTAAGGCCTTCTAGGGTGTCTTGGGGCATGGATGCTGGTCTTTGAAATATCCCGAGGTGAAGAAGCTGTTAATGCGCGCTTCATAATGGTTCCTCTTAGGAACAGGTCCCAGGCAGTAAGAAAGTATGGTAATTACTACAGAACCCAGGGTCTTTAAAGTATGTTGAGGTGTAGTTTGCATCATGCGACACTATGTTATAACATGTTATAGTATACAAAACCCCTTAACCCTAATAAGGGTTTGGAGGTCCTTGGCCAGACACCGAAGTGGCAGCCGCAACCCCTGAACCCCTAAAGACACCTAAAACCTCAACCCTAAACCCTAAACACTCGAAAGCCTTTCAACCCTAAATGACCTCAATACCCCATGCAAGCCCTGGCTAGAGACGGCAGTGTCAACCGCCTTTGTTCTGCGCGTAGTGGCCCGCAAAGCTCGACGTCTTTCGGCACCTAACAAGACCGTTCGAGCCATAACTTCAGAGGGTTTGGGGTTTCGGGTTTAGGGTTAAGAGGCAGAGAGAGGGAGGGAGAAGGACAGAGAGATAGAGAGAGAGAGAGAGAGAGATAGACAGCACAGAGACAATGAAGCCTAAACGCTTAACCCTAAGCCGAACCACCGAGCCAGTGTTTGAAGGGTTTAGGGTTTGCTGCTTAGGGGCTATACGGGGTTCAGGGGCAGATGACCGGACCTTCACAGAACCTCGTTTGATGTACAACGAGTTGGGTTTACGGCGCTTTTGAGGGACGATCACAAACTGACTGTTGATGGGAAGTAGGGCTCCTATTAGGGTTTAGGGTTTAAGGTCTTCCTAAATCCTCACACCACGGAGAGCTGCTTTGAAAAGAGTCTTGGCAAAAAGCTCGGCTGGAAGAGCCTATTGAAATCGAAACTCTTGCTCCGCAGCAATTAAAGCAGGTCGCACTCGGTGCACGCATCTGGAGCTCATGTGCGATGAAACAGCGCCACAGTCTTTGATAGTCTTTGCATAGAGTACGCAAGGCCAACAACCTGCTGTAAGGTCTTGGAAAGACTTTGACACAGCGGCTAGCAAACCCAGGCTGAAACATCTTCCCTCGTCTCTCACGACAACTCAATTTAGACTCTCCTACGCGCATGTGATAGGTCGCTCCCCATCGACACACGCCTGGCTCCAAAACAGACGAACCCCTTTCACTGAATGCCATAATTTTGCAATGCTGGCAGTAACACAAACTGACAGTCACCGGAATGTAACGCAAGAATTACCGCAGGACATTTACTTAAGAACCGACGGCCAGTTCCCTCAACAGAGAAGAGAAGTGAGAGCCCAAGGAACTCCTGTTGGGCCCTTGGCACATTTATGCGACATATGCCGTTTGGCCTTGAGATACTTTGATGTATTGATGGTTCTGTTTAGGGAAGCTCCGCACAATCTGAACCAACAAAATCAAGGAAGGATGAGCGGACGATCTATTGATGTTACTGTTTAGGGTAGCCCCCCCAAGTCTAAACCAACAAAATCAAGGAAGGATGAGCGCTATCGTAAGACCCGCACACCACTGCCACGTTGATGCCCCAGCCGGCCCCCGTGTCCGTGCGCCGCGCGCAGATCTGCCGATACCGAGCTTCGGGATCGAGGAATTGGCTTGCAGAGTTTCTGTTGCCAGAAACCCGGAAGTCCGTACCCATAGGACTCAAAGTAGTTCCTTTTTGGGAGTACCCTTTTTGGGCTTCTATATATGAGCCCCACAAAGGGAAGTACTTTGGGGCCTTAGGGTATACTCACAGACTATATACCTTGGCCTTGAAGTAGTGTCTAAATAGGTACTTCGGCGTCTAAACAGATGTTATTTGGGTACATAGACCGCGCGGGAAGAGGTTCTGCTTGTTGGGTAACTCTTCCCACCGAAACGACAAGAATGACTTAGTCGGCGTAGTCCGACTCAAGGGCTCACATGGCCCTAAGGCTCCGAAAAGACCCCGCGACCTTACGTAGAGACCTACCTAGAGGCTCATACCCTGTTAGGATCTGTTGCAAAGACAAGTGGGTACCCGAAGGTTCATGGGTAGTGATAAGTAGGGTTTCAAATAGGGTAACTATACTTATGACTTGTAACCCATATTAGGGGCCCATTTTTAGAACTTATGACCCATATTAGGGGACTTATAAGCCCATTTATAACTACCCATGAACCTCCAAGTAGGGTAGGAGCCTCCATGCAGGTGTGAAGTTGGACCCCAAGGACCTGATGTTTGTTTTTGCTGTCCTTTGACCCTTAGGGGTATGCAATATAGGGGTCTTAGTGACTAGAATAGGGTTTAGGGCCCATTATACCATAGTTATGATGAGGAAACCCCACAATAGTATTGGTAATGACTTTGGCCCCTATATTAGTGCTCGTGAAACTCGTTTTGCTGCCTGGTGCTTAGTAGTGAATGGGGGAACGGATCCCTAGGATAGCCCCTTAAGGTCCCTTACAGTTCTAGCACAGCACGAGTCCGCATCGATACCCTTAAATTTTTGTAAGATCCCGAATATGGTTTAGGAATATTCCTTAATCAAGGGATATTGGAGTCTCTGGGCATACAGCACGAATCCGCATCGCCTGCCCGGCATGGTGATAGATGTGGAACTCGTCGGGATACTGGCCGCTGTGGTCTTTGAGCATCAAGTTCCGTGGGCAGTCAACTGGTCCTGGTCATCGTAATATAGGAGCCTTAACTAATCTTTTGAATGGGGTTTTGGTGCCCAAGAAGGCCGCAGGAGTCCCCAAAGCGATGCCCAGTTTAGCTAAGCCCCGATGTAGGGGCCTGAAGAGTGAGGGATGTCATTCCTTACGGATTCCACTACAGGTTAATAGGCGCCCTTTCTGCTTCAAGCGTCCTGGCGAATCTAGATAAGGAAATGAATATCAGTTACCATGACAAGAGTCTGTAGCAAAGACTATGGTGCCCTTATTATGGTAACTTAAAGTTCAGCTCAATAACCTACTTGTCGGGTATCATTTGGTTAACCTTTTTGGTTTTTTATTAGGGATTATATAGGGACTATACCACCCAAACAACGTTAAAGGTTACCTGCCCTACTACTGGGTAAAGTTCAGCTCATGAAGCAGTCTCCAGGTCCCGGCGGATCCACCAGTACAGTTTAGTTTATGCTACAAAAACTGTGAAACCCGCGTGTAAAAATTCAGACACTCTTACCCAGATTTTCGGGAGGATCCAAAAAGTAGATCCCTGAATGGGGGTTCCTGCAAAGTACCCTTAGTAGTATAGGGCCCCAAATTAGGGAATCTACCTTTTAGAGCCTCCCGGGGGTCTGGGTACTTCGTCGAGCTCCCAACTGTCCTGCCGGATCCAGTTCAGGAACTTAATATAACCTAGAGGCTGATACCCTACCCCCTTTTTCAGGATACCCAGGTTCTTTAGGTAGGATCTGCTATATAGACAAGTAGGTATCCTAAAAGGGGGTAGGGTATCAGCCTCTATATAAGAAGTTACCATTACAAGGGTCTATAGCACAAACTATGGCTTCACTCTTTCTAGCTCATGGGTGGGATCGGGCTAAAAAATTACACTATTATTCCTTATTGAGTTTAAGTACCCATAAAATGTAAAACGTTACCCAACTATGACGAAGCTTTGGTGACTTAGGTTCAGCTCATTGGCAACAAGAACACCGGTCCTGGCGGATGAACAAGTACAATGAATACTACAAAAGCTGCCCAATGAGGGAAAATGTAAAATCTCCCAAAGAGGGGTCTTTAAAGTAAGGATCCTATTTTTAGGGTATCATATATTAAGGTCTCCTATTTTCGGAAACTCCCACCTGAACCCCCAAAAGAACACAGCCCAATCGACCCCTGCCTACCTTAGCCTACCCAACCCTACTTTTTCGTAGGTTCTTATTATAAACCCTAATATGGAGTTTATAGGGACCCTACAAAAAGTAGGGTTTGGTAGGTTAAGGTAGACAAGAACCCAGGTCCTGGCGGATCCACGCACTTCACATTCTCCTTGAGGCTGCTCCCGATCACTACCTGGCAGGTTTGCTTCGAGATGCGGGGGGACCTTGGCGCTGCGTCTCTCAGTAACCCAGAGAGCCCAATCCCCCTTAATTAAGGAATATACCTTAAACCATTAGGGGCTTTATGTTTATGATTTAAGATATATTCCTTGATGAAGGTAATTATAATTACCCGACTTGCAACGCTACTCATGAACCGTCAAGTAATCCCAAATAACGACTTACAAACCCTAAACCCTAAAAGGAAACATTACCAAGCAACCCTGAAAGGTATTGGGCTCTCTGGGAAAGGCCCCCTGCTGGACGTGCTGGCCTTGATGGCTCCGGGCTGGGTGCGGCTATGGCTGTAGTCCTGAGACAGAACCCAGAAGACCAAACCCTAAGAACCCTGAAACCCTAGAAACCCTAAAAACCCTGAAACCCTAGAAACCCTAAAAACCCTGAAACCCTAGAAACCCTAAACACCCTGAAACCCTAGAAACCCTAAACACCCTGAAACCCTAGAAACCCTAAAAACCCTGAAACCCTCGAAACCCTAAAAAACTTGAAACCCTAGAAACCCTAAAAACCCTGAAACCCTAGAAACCCTAAAAACCCTGAAACCCTAGAAACCCTAAAAACCCTGAAACCCTAGAAACCCTAAAAACCCTGAAACCCTAGAAACCCTAAAAACCCACCCTAAAAACTCTGAAACCCTGGAAACCCTCCAAACCCTGAAACCCTAGAAACCCTTAAAAACCCTGAAGCCCTAAAAACCCTACACCTTAAACCTAAACCCCAATCTCATAAGCATGAGACTGAGTCTTCGGGCCGGACTTGGGGGTGATACAGGGTTTTGGACTTCGGGGATTGGGGATCTTTGGGGTTTTTAGGGCTTGACTTAGGGTTTGTACTTCTGGGTTTGGGGATTTTGCGGTTTTCTGGTTTAGATTTCGGAGTTTGGGGCTTAGGGAGTGTTGAGCGTTTTGGGTGTTGGGGATTATGGTTTAGGGTGCTTGGGTTGTGATTTTTAGGAACGTGTTGCCCTTTGTTGATATTTAAAGTGACACTGCTGCAATCAGCGGGATTGCCGGTAATTTGGGATTTGTCTTCTGATGTTCACAGTGGGATACTCGTAGTGATACTCCCTAGTCCCTGAAGCCTACACCGTCAAACCCAACACCTGCCATCATTTCAATACTTGACGATTTAGGATTTAGCATCTCCTGCAGGATTTAATGCAAGAGTAGGCACATTCTTCCTCAGACCCCTATTTCTGTTATTCAACCCTCGACCCTGTAACACCCTTATAGAACCCGCTTACAAGCCTTGCAGAACCCTTACATAAGACGAAGTGACGTCGTCTTATGGTCCTCGAACTACTGAGCCCTGTGCCCGTAACTCTTGCGGCGAAGACACTCCCAACTCTCAAGTACACGGAGAATCCCCAAACCTCTTCCATTAACTAAAGAATGTTCCTTCACTTCTGATAAGTGCCCGTTCATCAAAGACGCTTAAACTAAGGGATGTTGTCTAACTCTACAAACCCCTGTCAAACCTTTAATTTCCGAATTGCAAACCTATCATTCCTTATAAAGGCTCCCTGGCAATCCCTCTGCCCTGCAAAAAGACGCACAACACCCAATAGCCCGGAAACCCTACACCCTAGACCCTAAACCCTAAACCCCTAAACCCCTAAACCCAAGAGCTTTCATAGCCGATCTGCTCCAGATCTGCTGTATCTCGACTGGGAGGCCGCGGCCTACCGATGCCGAGACAAAACTAGGGGTGAAAGGGGGCTTAGAGCTTAGGGCGTACCAGTACGATGGCTTAGGTTTTAGGGTTTTACGGTTTAGGGTTTAGGCTTTTGGGTTTAGGGTTTAGGTCTAAACCCGATAGAGCCCCTAAGCCTGCAAAAATCTGGGGTCTGGGATACCTTGTTTTTAAGGATACTCGACTTCCATAATTTCAACTTATCACTGTTCATAGTTTCAAAGGGGAAAAGGAGGGACCCTTAATGGGGACCCCTACCCTATAAGGGGCTATATAATGGGTATACAATAGCCATATTAAGGGTATATACCTAGGGGTCCTTATTGAGGGTCCCTCCTTTTGCCCTTGGATAGTTGGGCCTCTGAGGCTATGTAGGCGCCTTGTTGGCTGGGGTTTTATTGTGTGTGTGGCGGTTTAGGGTTTAGGGTTTAGGGTTTAGGGTGTGGCGTAACAACTACAACTAAAACAGCCCACTGAGGCTTGTAATACTGCTGATGGACAAAATCCTGCATTACACATTATGAGGACTATACCATAGTACTAAACCTCTATGTTAAGCCTTGCTTGACCTTCAACCACGAACCCAGCATCCAAAGTGAAAATCAAAACTTTTGCCCCCCATCGTCATTCACGTTTCTGACAAGGCTGCCTCGCCAAATCAGTGTAGCAGTCAGGTCCCTCCAGGTCCAATCCCTAAACCCAATCCTAAACCATAAGACCTAAGCTCTAAACCCTACAGATCTCTAAAAGGAGCCCTAAACCCTGAAGATTTCTAAAAGGAGCCCTAAACCCTACAGATCTCTAAAAGGAGCCCTAAGCCCAGGTACTGTTGATGAGAGTCCTTAGGGTCATGCAGGATTTTGTCCATCAACAGCATGTCCCAGCCTGAGACATGGATCCATCATCGAAGCCACGTCCGAAGGCCTCGGCGTTCTCCGGGCTGAAGTTCAGAATTTTAGGGTTCAGGGTTGAGACTATTGTTTTTGAGTTTAGGTGTTCATTGTTTTACCAAAACCGGAACTCTAGACAATTTAGGTGTTCTAGGGTTTACGGTTGAGGGTTGAGGGTGTAGTGTGTAGAGTTCAGGGTTGGGTTTCTAGTTTCGAGATTACATGGAGGTGGCCAGGGTATATGTTGTAGAGAAAAGGGGTGGTGCGAATAGGTGAGGGCAGTGAGGGTTCCGAAAGCTGTCCACCCCTTTGCTACTCAAACCTACTCTTTTTGGGTTTAAGCTTTAGGGCCTCTCTTTTCCTTTCCTTCAAGGTTCTTCCGTTTTGGGGCTTGCTTTTGCCTGGCCTGCCTGCGCAAGAATCGACCAGGTGAAACAACACTGGCCCCAAAGTCCAATACAGCTTAATTGAAAACCAAGGAAACAATTTCAAGCCATAGTTGCAGTGGTCTGAGTCTAGGCGGCTGCTATATTATATTCATAATGCGATCCCTCATGCTCTGAACATCCAACGGCTCCCAGAGACTCCGAACCCCCTTCATTGAGGAATATACCTGGAGTCATGCTAGGGTTGCAACCATACGTTAAGGGATATTCCCTAAGTGAGGAGTTTGGGGGTCTCTCTTTAAGTGCTGTCGAAACAGCCGACCTGCAAGAGAGGCATCCCTGAAGACCAAACGCGGCGAAGCACAGACGGACTGCACTGTAAGAGGCCTTACTAATTCGACTAGGGCTTTGGGCTCCACTGTGGTAACCTAGTTATAGTAAGGAACGGCTAAGGAATGATATTGCTCATAGTCGAACACAGCTCTGAGTCATCAAGATCCGAGTTGCTCCATGATACCTGAAGTGATCTGGAGCAGCCTGTCGCGGCAGAAAGCAGACTTGTAATTCAAGGGCCTTACTTGGAAGGGCAGGGGACTTAGTAAGTAGGTTATAAGTAGGGTTATAATTGGGGTAACTCCATTTAGGGTACTTATAACTCTACTTCTAATCTACTTACTAAGTCCCCTGACCTTCCAAGTAATAATTAGAATAAGGCTTTGGGGACCTGGGTGGAAGTACCTCCTCGAGAAGATTGCTCTCAGAGTCTCACCGGGGCGAAGTTGAATAAGGACCCCCACACACACACACACACAAATATCGTACAGGTAATTATCTAGTCCTCGAAAGTATAACGGAGATGGGCATGCTGAGGATGTATCCAAGGCTTGGCGCCGCCGCTTTAGCCGACCATGCAATTTTGAGAGTCTGGTTACTGTTCTAGGATGCCTAGTAACCTAGGAATAAAAAGGGCTCCCTTTTTGGTATTGGGTAACTTTTTAAGGAACCTAGGACTACAAGAAGGGAATAAGGGTAGTACTGGGCATCCTAGTGTTGCGGCTGCGTCTTCACCAACGCATGGTAAGTGTTACGATTGCTGTTGGCGCTGCTACCACCACGACGCTGCTTGCTCCAGGAGGAATCTGTTAGTGCCGAGCACTACAAGTTCTGCTTGTAGTGGTCTAGCAGCAGCCATGCTTCTACGGCCATTCTATTGACATCTTTGCCCGTGCGAGCATGACTGCGATACTCAAGCCCCGGTCCCGCAATCACGCAAAGCTTATTACCATTACGGACTACGCAGACCTCCCTTTTTAACCCTATAAACACCCTATATGAAACAAACTACATATGGGAGTTCCCGAAAGTTAGGGGTAATTACCTGATTTTGGGGTCCATATAATAAGGATCCTAGTATTTCGGATACTATATTAGGGTCTCCTACTCTCGGAGAAACTCCCATGGGAAGCTTAGAGGTTGTAAGAACCAGTGAAGACCGCGAATGGGAGCAACTGGTTGGACTGCCAATGAGGGCAACGTATGGAGGTCGTCCATACCGAGAAATTTCTGTGGAGTACGCTTCTTGCTGTGTGCAAGGGCATGTGGAACGTCCACGCGATCGAGCGGACCTAGAAAGTCGCAGTTATAATACGCGACCTGATCATCGTTGGGAGCAGCGAAGTCTCAAGCTCCGATGATAGAGCACCTACATCGTGCAGAAGGCAGCCGCGGAGAGGGATGTGGAATTCGCGAGTCTTACCAAAAGCCACTGGTGGGGTTCATAGTCAGCTCCGACTTTGGGATTGTTGAAATTCATCCATATAACCCTTTGATGAATGAAGCCCAAGACTTGCCAAGTCGCTCTGTTTGTCAGGGTTTAAACTAGGACGCCCGGTAACCTAGGAATAAAAAGAGCTCCCTTTTTGGTACTGGATAACTTTATAAGGAACCTAGGACTACAAAACGGGAAGAAGGGTAGTACTGGGCATCCTTTAGGAGCTGCCCCCACCCTGTAATAGTGACTATAAGGATTATATTGGGGCCCTATTATATTCCTACTATACTATTATTACAGGGTGGGGGCCCCTTCTAGGGCATCCTAGTAAAGGTAATTAACTTACTCCCCCAATAAGCCACTGAAAACAAAGGTTGAACTTTCCGATTCCTACTAAAATACAAGAACCCAAAAAGTTAAAAGGTTGGGTATTCGGGATCTGAATAACCCTACTTCTAACTAACCTAAACCCTCATCCCTAAACCCTAGAGATCCCTTGAAAGGAACTTATAAGGTTGGGTATTGGGGATCTGAGTTAAGCACGATTCAGGGTTTCGAGCTCAGGCCTTAAAGCCTCGTTGAACCCTAAACTTTAAACCCTGGGTTTAGGGGTTTAGCGGTTTTGGGGTTTAGGAACCTACTAGAAACCCTTAAAATGAATACAAAACCCAAAGCCCTGAACCCTGAACTTTAAACCCTGGGTTTAGGGGTTTATATAGGGGTTTTGGGGTTTAGGAACCCTGAATCTGAATCCTAATCCCAACGCCCTGGAGGCTGAGGCCTTAGGGCTTGAGGGTTTTAGGGTTTAGGGCGAAACCTAAGCTTTAAACCCTAAACCCTAAATCCTAAACCCTAAAACCCTAAACCCTGAAACCCTAAACCCAAAGCCCTGGACCCTAACTTCAAAGCCCTGAAACCCCAGCTATCCGAGGAGCCTTCGGCGTTCGCATGGGGATCTACTGAGGGTTTGAGGGTTTAGGAACCCCTCATTGCTATGGTAGGGGGACTAGAAGTTAAAGGTTAGCCTTTGGGACTATATAGGAAATATACTATCACAAAAAGGTCAAAGGTTACCTCCTCTACCGAGTGAGTGAACCTCATGCCTCGTCCTGCTCCGCACCATAGTAGCCATGATTGTAGGCCTGTCTGCTTCTTGCAAGATGCACACCCAGTACTGCACCCGGTTCTAGAACTCTATTGCAATCATAGCCTAAAGTTCGGCTGCAAGGTGAATACTTACGGTGAAAGCTCGGGCAGTATGTACCAAAACTAGCCACAGTACCTGTCAATACTTGTGGCTCCCACAGAACTTGAAGCCAGGCTCCGATACTGGCTCGCAGGCACCAAGAATCGTGAGTCGGAATCGTTTAGTTTGCGCGAGTCGAGCTGGGGCCGAGCTGTGAGGGGGATAATAACACTGCCATTATCGCTATCACTATCCTATTTCAAGACGACAAGACTTCATCCTCGTTCTCATCATCTTCACCCGGATCCCCATCCTTACGAGCATGATGGTTGTGCTGACGATGATGATGATGTTGATGATGATGCACAAACATTCGGGGGGCCTGGGCTATAAGGTAACCCCGACCGTTTATCCTCAAACCTTCAAGTTTGCTTCCCGCACTGAAACACAGTCCGCACATGCCCTACAGCCCAAACCCGCAAAAGTCTCACGAACATGTGAAATATCGTAAACATCCCCAGAGAACCCTGCTGGTCCTTCTTCAATCAAAGCAGAAACCGCCTACATTCGAAACGGTGCACACCCCTACAGAGACCTTGCAAGACAATCACTTTTAACGGGGCTATTCACACCCATAGTGAGCCTATACAAAAACATCAGACTACACGTGTCCTCAAACAACCCGTATCCTAACTCTTTCAACCAGTCTAATCTAGTGCTCTTATAGAATCGTCCTACAATACCTATACCTAAACCGCTTGGAATCCATAGATACGCTATAAACTCAACAAAGAAGCCTAACCCTCTACCTCACACTTACGCTGTACAATCCTTACCCTAAGCCCTCAACCCCCGATAAAAGCCCCAAAATCGAATCTTAAACCCTAAACCCTAAACCAAAACATGAAACCCAGCAAAAAGGCCCTGTGCCTCTACCAGGCCCACATGAAGCGCCAGGAAGGCAAACGCCCAAAAAGGCGAACCCATCTCAGCGGCCTCTCATTGCGAAGGCTTTTGTTTACTCAAGCTTATAGGGTGTAAGTCTAAGTTTGCGAACATGATCTCGTGGCTTCTGTTGACTTTAGCTTAGGACTTCTCTATGGGGATGAGAGCTGCGTACACAAGGATCTTTATACGGCTCTAACATGCTTGATGATATAAACCCTGCATTACCCATCAGAAGGAATATGCTATGAATACAATAGTCTTGGGTCATGCAGGACTTTTATAGGGCTAGACCTAAGAGCAGCCTAGGAATAAAAAGGTTGCCCTTTTTGGTTTAAAGGGGGTTATAAGGAAACCTGAACCCTAAACAAGGGAATAAGGGCCTAATCTACTTGGAGGTTCATGGGTAGTGAAAAGTGGAGTTATAAGTCCCCTAGTATGGGTTATAAGAAAAGTTGCCCTACTTATAACCCTACTTATAACTACCCATGAACCTCCAAGTAGGTCCTAGAGATTTTCATAACTAGCTCATGGTTGGGATAGGATTAAAAATTCAAATTTCTATTCCTTATTGGGTTTAAGTACCCATAAAAATGTAAAATGTCACCCAACTATGACAAAGATAAGGCTTTAATGTGGTTTTGCATGGCTTCTGTCTGGCAACTCAGACTCTGCAGGCGCAGATGGGGCTTGCTTGGAGGTGTTATAAGTAGGGT